ATACATGCATACAAACGCAGTAAAGGTCCATGCAGACACACCGGACGCGCTTCGACAACGCGACGCAATTTTTTAGTTTTTGAAAGTTAATAAAACAGCCAATGAGAGCAAATTTTAAAACATATGTAGACCAAATAACTCAAAATGTTATAACGCTTCTAAATATTTGGAAAGTTTAAACTAGGAAAGTTTAAACAAATTTATCGGTCAGTGAAAATCGACAAATCGCGTCGCGTTGTCGAATCGCGTCCGGTGTGTCTGGACCTTAACTCCAGGCAAAGCGACTTCGCTCGAAACGTCGAAATTCAGGTAGTTGCATCTCTATACCATCGAAAGCTTGTTCAGATGAAAAACATAACCTCCTTGCAAATTAAACTAAATCTCAATTTTATTTATTTGCCGTCAAATATAAATGACAACCATTCGCTGCCTGCATATACGGGGCTTTCACCTCTGAAACCGTGGGCTAATATATACCAAAGTTCTCGGTATTTTTGTTGTTTCGCTATATTTTCCGCTTTAATTAAAAGAGTACTTATTGAAGCATAAACTGGTCTAATTGTTTTAAAAACATGCATGCCTAAGCCACGACAAAGTATTCAAGGTAAATGTTTTTCGTCTTTGTTTTGTATTTTTTTTACATTTGTAGCTACGAAATTGGCGTCGCCAATTTTAACGAAATTTGCGATGCATTTTTCACTGGAAATACTTAGAGATTTCATCGTAAAATGGCATAGTTATATTTATTTGCTCTTTGACTAAAATGTTTAGCTGTATTATTGCTAAACATGCCGTTTTTGAGAATCTGGTTTGCAACTAGGTTTCAACATCCAGTCACGGTATCAGCCCATTGAAAACATTAGGTCACGTCAGCTAGTTTCCTATCCATTTATTTTATTATCCATGCATGGTGAAACACAGGTAAGAAATAACACAATTGATGTGAAAATAAAATAGTCTAGGCTAGCGCCTGTATTCTAAAAGCTCACTCACACTCAATGAGTGGAGGTTCAATCTGAGCTTCTCTTGAGTGTCAATGCTGTTTTTGAATGGCTAGAGGGGTAGTGCCATAACTTACTATGTGACTGCTCACCCTCCAGCTATTCAAAAACAGCAATGACACTCAAGAGAAGCTCAGATTGAACCTCCACTCATTGAGTGTGAGTGTGAGTGAGCTTTTAGAATATGAGTAAGTATGTAATTAGGTAAGCGTAATACTTAATTTAAAAAACTCATTAATAATTCAGGAGGAAAACACAAAGAAAAATCATAAGCGTGTTGTATCTTTATATGTGATAAAAAATCATGTTAATTTACATATAAACTTTAGCTTTGATTTTCTCGGTTTAGACAAAGTTTAATTTAAAAATTACTTCGCCAATGAACTCATATAAGATGAGTCGTTTTTGAAGCCATTTAAAGCACTTGTAGTCGTGTTTTATCACATATCAAGATTCTTCAGCGCAATTCACCGCCCAATAAACTACTTCACCGCATAAGATAAGCGCGTCACGACAATTATCGACAATTAGCTATAGTGTTTAATTTGACATAAACTTTCGTTCTCCCTCGGTGGCTTAGTGGTAGGTCGTTTGACCTGTCTCGACAAACCTTTGAGTTCGAATCCCGTCGAGCTCATATTTTCAATATTTTTTCCTTTTATTTCTATCCAGCTGTAAAAATTCTTTTTACATCTTTATATGTGAAATCGCTTTGCAAGTAGTTGGAAATATTGGTATGTTGAACCTGGCTCGAAGACTCCAATCATTTCTAACAGTTAATTCCGTTCGATATTCTTTGAGGTGTTTTATTTCAACTAGTCGCGTACTATTTTTGGCTGTTTGAGAGAAGCTGCCAAATAGTTTAAAGAGTCAAATTAAGTGTGGTAGCGTATACTTTGGCTCCATACAACATACAGTATAAGCAATTATATTATTGCCGTTGGCGTTCTAGGTTTAGAACGCTCGGCTGCACCTCGCGTTTTATATCTGGCAAAACACTCCTACGAGTGCTTTAAATAGTACGTAAAGCCAGGGCCGGATTAACGTCGCGCGAGGCCCGTGGCAGATTTTCAGCGCGAGGCCCCCAACCCCCCCCCCCCTCTCAACATGAAAACCTAGGGGCCCTAAATGCGCGAGGTCCCTAAATTCGCGAGGCATCTTAATTCGCGAGGCATCCAAAATGGGCGTGTCCCAATGGAAAATGGACGTGTTCTCGTAAAAATAGGCGTGGCACAGTATAACGCGAGGCCCCCATAAGCGCGAGGCCCGCGGCATATGCCGCATCTGCCACGTGGTTAATCCGGCCCTGCCAGTTACAGCTCTGTATGTATCTACTACTCTGTGATAATGAGCTACACAATCAATCACTGCATTGGTAGCACAAACGAACTTTACTCGTATTTTTAAGCCTTTTAACGCATTTTTAAGTGAATACATACAGTGTATATTGGCTGGGCTGCCTACGGTTTTAGACAATTAAAATTGCAATGGGGAGATTGCAGAACATTGCACAGCTTTAAACAAAATCTACCTCAGCAATTTCTTGCCAAATGAACAAGGCAGTAATACTGACAGCTAAAGATTCTAACACAATTCTCCACCAGTATTTACTGGGTGGGTCGTAGTAACTCCAGCTGGACGCGGCCGTCCGAGGGAGGGTTATCCCCAACACCGTCCATAGTAAACAATACAACAGCTGCACAAAAACTTGAATCATCGAACCAGTCTTGCCGAAACATTCCCACTTGACTTGAATAAGTCGTTTGAACACTGGATGCATGATAAGATCCATTTGTTTGTAGCGTACCGCCTCCTCCAGAGGTGTTTTTGCAAAGACATGGCCATCGTCGCCGGGTTTGCCGGGTTCTAGATGGTTTAGGTAGTAGTACTGTTTGCGGTTGGCCCGGTCCAGGCTGTGAAATTGGTCTAATGCTTCTTTTGCAACTGGTGGCATTTTTGAGACCATCAAGGACATTGCAGTCACGCCATTCTCGTCACAAACTCCAGCAGGTACGTCAAGAGAAATAAGTAATTTTGCTGTTTCTGAACGATCTAAACGCAAGGTTAATCACATGTTGATACACTGATCTGTTGATTGAAGGACCATAACTCATTCACTAAACTAACCAAATACTTAATGTTATAAATTATTAAGCCAAAATTTTAGCACTTGTGAATCAGAATATTTGATTCTGTATGGGGCAGCCATAAGCACGCATCTAACTGATATGACTCTGAATGCATTGACATTTCAATGATTTCGGTACCTATTTCAGCATATAGGTATTGCTGGCCCCCTGGTGAAAAAACCTGCGTACGGCCCGGTCCACGGGGGCTGTCCCTAACTGATTGACTGTCTAATTAACTGACCAATCTGAGAAAACTTGAACAGTTTAATAGCAGACAAAAAGCCTTAAAGACAACATCATGTCACATCAACAACATACCCAATTCAGCAGCCACATGCAAGGGTGTCCTCTGTTTGTAATCTCTACAATTCACGTCTGCACCAATATTTATCAACTCCTGTAATGCATTGTCTGCGTCATTCTTTGCAGCGTAATGTACCGGGGTTTGATTTTCACCATACGTACGAGCACTCAAGTCAGCTGTAATGAAGAGGCAAAAGACACATTGTTTGTCAATATTTTGCTAGAGGAGGAAGGTGCATGCTTCTAGTCAATTCAAAATTCAATTCAAAATTTTATTGACACTGTTTCATATCATTACATTTTTTTAAAATACAGGGAGAAAAATAATTAAAGTATATTGTAGGAGTTAAAAATAATTAAATATTTTGAAATTTCAAACCAAAAAGTAGTAGTGAGCGACAGCCAGAGGAGTAAAGCTTTCGAGCCGGTTGCCGCAATTCTACTGAGGGGCCTGTACAGGGTTCCGATTTTCACTTCAAATCCTGTTATCCCGCCATGTGCCGTCATCCCAATTTCCCGCTCCCGTCTTTTTTTTTAACACAGTTCAACATATTATGATTTAAAGAACATGGTAACGACATAAAATACAATTTGAATACACTAGAATACAATACAACAAAGTTTAAAATAATAAATGACTCTAAATCATGACTCTTAGCAATCATACATGTAAATGGTGGATTGATGGGGGACAAATGTTCGATTTCATCCTTGAAAACAGTAAATTTTGAACACACAAACAAATGACAACAGACAGCCAACGTACAGCTACAAGTTTTGTTGATTTATCCCACTAATCGTGGGTTACTTCCCGCATATCGCCATGGTATTTTAATTTATTAATCCCACTTCCCGCAATGGAATAAAATCCCGCTTCCCGCCAATATTTCTCTTAAAATACCAAATCCCACTTGAATTTTAGACGCATCCTGCCATCCTGCAAAACCGGTACAGGCCCCTCTCTACTTGAATAAAGGGTGCAAACCTCATGTAATGAGCTCATATATGACAGAAGGACTGCCCACTGCGGATATAAACTCCAATGCAGATTGCAGATATAAACTGTGCCAGCGTAGGCATTGACAATAACACCAGAAAACTGAGATTGATTCAACTACCTGAAAAATACAAGAAAAGTCTTCGATGTTTTGAGTGAAGGCTCTTCGTTTTGAGTGAACTGACCCTTGATCGAAACGTTGCATGAAGTCTTACATATTTTTCAGATAGTTGAGTCCAACTCAATCTGTAGCTTTCTGCTCATTGCAGACAAAACTTTCATTGTCTAGCCATTTGGCAAACAGCAGGAGATAATTTTTCTAGAGATTAATTATTAAATGATATGTAACAGATGTTACTAACTTAAAACATATATATTACCGTATTTCTAAAGAAGTGCTGGTGGTCCTTTGGAACTAAAGAAACTTTAGAATGTTTTATTTCATCACCCCTTTTGTGTTTTACATGCCCCCCTCCCCCTTATCCATTTCAACTTATAATTCCCAGAACCTATCACTCACCCCCATGTTCAAAAAGAAACAGGATCATTTCGGCATAATCCACAGCAGCGGCAACATGCATAGCCGTCCGTCCATACCTATCCGCCTTGTTGATATCAGCCCCTTTTTCTAACAGAAACAGAGCAACATCGCAGTGCCATGCCCTCGACGCCTCGTGAAAGATCGTCTGGCCATAGCGGTCACAAACATTGACGTCAGCACCGCTTTGTAACAACGAATCTACGAAATCAAAATCTACTACGGTGGCAGGTGATTCCGGATCTGCCCTGGCTAGTTTTGCAAAGTATATGAGCAATGCCCTATTGCTTGCACACTGCGCACTAACTGTTTGCGAATTTTCACCAATTTCATCATTTTCAGCCTCAGAAGTATTATATTTTATAGCCACCGTTTCTTCGATATCGCTGTCCAAGAAGGCCACAGGTTCCTTTAAGTTTTCATAAATTCTACACCGTTTTAACCGCTTTTCAGACCGTCTTTGTTTAGTATTTTTCCGGCTTTCCCGTTTCGTACAAACGTAATGTTTCCATGTTGAGATTACGTTATTCTGTCTGTGCAAAAGATTCCATGCAGCGACTAGCGAATCGCGGTCTTCTTTAGGCGGTTGAACCGGCTTCACCTTTGTTAATTCTACACTTTCTGTCGCACTTTCCTCGTTATTTTGCTTCCTTCGTGTTGGATAAACTCTACCTTCTTTCATTTTAACAGTCCTTTAGTGTTTTAGCGTCAAGTATGACAAGTATTAAAGATGCCCCACGTATAAAAAGTTAAAACAATAAAATAGCATCAGTGACCTTTCGGTCTGTATTTTTACCCCAGACAAATGAACTGCTGTTTTGTGTTAAACGTCGACACCAAATATTTCAGGATTCTTATGCCATTCCCGCCAAAATAACTTTGAACAAAAACAGTCTGTAAATTTATCAGCATGGGTACAGTATTTACATAAGATGTTCTTGTTTTTGACAATGTGTTCTCTTGTCACCTAGTGACAATGATACACTTTTTAGATCACCCGGAGATCCCCCCGGCAACTACATAAAGTGAGACAGAAATTCAGGGGGGGAGGCATGATAAAATTATTCAAGATCATCTGCGCTTTGAAATCATGAGAGTTGATGAGTCAGTTGGCAGTGACGTATTGTTACAGAGGACATGTTAAGCTCAAGACTAACAAAATAAAGATTTGATGAGTGTTCTAACTATGTTTTAACTTACAGTAAATAGAATACATGATAGTGTTGATTCCGCATGGTTTAAGAACAGCTGGGTCGCGTGACTACCAACTCTCATGCGGGTCATGCCCTCTCATACTGACCATACTCATTTCATCTGGGCATGATTTGTTCAATATCAGACATGTCACATGATTTGTTGAAATATATCAGACATGATTTGTTCCTAGAACCATTGCCAGTCAGGCGCGACTATAATAGAATTTCTACTTTCTATTTACAGTTGTTTATTTCTGCTTATTTCATAGCCAGGTCTGGATAGATTCCAGTCCGCTCTCCACTCGTCTGGTCCCAAGTGATTCCTTGATGTCTCCCACCCACGTGACTCCAGTCCCTTCAGGAATGCTGGGAAGACTTTTAGCGTGAAATTATGCGCGTACGCCACTACATCCCATGATGCTCTAGCTGGCAACTCTCTTGCTATAAATAAGAAAGAATAAAATTGAATCGTTTCACGTCTTTGACCAGGGTTTGATTCCTGTAATATGCAGTTGTGACAGTTGTCTGATTATAATTTCACCTCAGTCGCATGTGAGAAGAATGCTTCCAGTTTGACTCTACAAAATACCACAGGTTTCTCTTTGTACTCCGATTTTCTTCGTTCAATAGTAACACTGGATCTACAAGGGATGGCCCTTACTGAAACTCTATAGGGAAGAACAGTTTAGAACTAATAGAACTATCCAGTATAAATAAAGTTAGTTTAGTTTAGGTTTCCTCCTGTAGTAACACTGGGTCAATAAGAGATGATCCTTACTGGACCTCTAGGAAGAACAGTTTAGAACTGATAGAGCTATCCAGTATAAATAAAGTTAGTTTAGTTTAGGTTTCTTCCTGTAGTAACACTGGATCAAGAAGGAATGATTCTTACTGGACCTCTAGGAAGAACAGTTAGAACTAATAGACCTATTCAGTATATATAAAGTTAGTTTGGTTTTGACGCTAACCGTTATAAATTTGTTGCCACAAGTGACATAAATTATTAAGAGCCAATTCACTCATTTCATCTTCAGTTGCACCCTACAGATACAAAAAGTAAGAACATAATGTTAATTCTCATCCCGGGTTTCCGAGATGTCTCACCAACGCAAAGTGCAGCAGTGCCTTTCTTAAGAATAGTCTTAACAACTCAACTAATATAACTCAACAAAACCTCAATCTCCACATGATATGGGAGAGAAAATGTGCACTTAGAAGGCAAAACGGTAAAAGATGTTGGATCAAGTCAAGTCAATTTATTTACCACAATTTAGAAACATTACAATCGAAAAAAAACACACAACAACAAAAACATTAAAGTATATAAATAGTGGCAAGGTAGCCCAAATAGAAATCAGAAGGCTTATATGACTTGGGCTCTTTATTCATAAACGTATCAAATACGCATGTCTTTTTAGAATTGTGATGTAGCTTAATGTACTCGCTCTTAAAAGTGTTAATCTCGCTTAGCAGATCCATTTCACAGAGAAGTCATTCACTCCGGTTCCGTTAGTTTAGATCGCCTGGAAAAAGTTTTTTTACCTTCGTCCGAAGTCGTGGGCTTCTTATAACGAGATCCATGATGGCGATTTGAAAATAACATTGGAGTAAACTTTCTGAATCAATATTTCTATGCAGAGCTACATTTACACAACCTGAACAGAAAGTGAAATGTTTTAGGGGAAACATAATATGGATCTTGCCAGAGGCGTACACACGTAAAAATGTCACATCTTGTAGTAAGTCTACCAACAAGCCATCAACAAGTTGTGTTCGTACTGCTTGTCCCAACAAGTTTGTCAACAAGTTTGGAACAAGCTATTAACAACTTGTAACAACCTGGTCGATATTATCAGACTTGTTGCAAGGTTGTTCCAACACGTCCAATACAGTCATGATATAACAATATTGTTACAACCTTGTGTCGTCAACCTTGTAACATTCTTGTTTTTTTTTGTTTTTACAAACTTAGTCATAAATGACAGGTTAACCCTACAGAGCTTATTGCTGCATTTACAGGGTCCCTAATAATATGTATATATAAAAAAAATTACAAAATAACATTACATTATTTACAACACATTATGTTATACATTTGTTATATCATGACTGTATCAGACCTGTTAGAACAACCTTGTAACAAGTCTGATAATGCCATCAAACTTGTTACGCTATTTTTTGCGGTACTGTCTGCCCTCGTGAAAGATTCTAGACAATTCAAACAACGTGAAAAGCGACTTTTAAAAGTTGTAACTGTAAATTTACCATTATACAAACAACTATAATACTAAAAAGTTGTATTTCATGGTGCGGAGACTCTCAAACGGGGGAGAGGCAGTACCCCCCAAAATGGCCGTACGTCGGTACGCGATTATCGCACGCTGAATGACAAAAATTACCTGATTTAAAATTCTTTGAAATTTCTAACTTCATTATGTAATGTATTTCCTTTGAGTTTGGTAGAGCTGCAAAAAAGTCGTTTGAGCTATATGATCAAAGAATGCATGAAAAAATCTTAGTTTACGAGGAATTTTTAATGTAAGGGCAATATTTCATCGTCTAAAGCAAATCTTATTGATTTAATACAAATATTTTACCTTGATATGACGTTACTTAACGGGCATCCCAAGTTAACATCAAGACTCTTGTGGCATTCTGAAATAATGAAAAGAAAATGAAATCTTAAATAGTTAAGATTAGAATGCAAGAAACCTAATTTCTGATTTTATCGTGTAGTTTTATAGTACATTTAATGTAACATAGTTTTAGGACTTAGGTCATTGTCTATCTAATATTGTAAGTTTAAATAGATTCTATGTTTTATTTTGTGAAATAGTCTATACAGGGCTTGAACTATCTGTGCGAGTGTAGAAAACATAAAATTATATTATATATGTGAGCGACTTGAAATTTCCAATTGTGGATAGAAACGAACCACTATCTGTTTTAGGACCTCTATACAAAAGTATACTAGAAGTTACTATCGCAGGGTAGGTGCTGCCTCAGCCCATGGGTTTCAAAAGCAGCATGTGCAATTTGCTGAATAGAAACGAACCACTATCTATTTTAAGACCTCTATGCAAAAGTATATTATACTGTTCGTACTTGTCAATATGGGTTCAATTGCAGAAATTTCTTGAGGACTAAGTACTAGTCCATCGTTGATAAAATGATCAACCAGTAAGCGCATACGTGATGAATTAACAGTTTCCATGACGACAGATGAAACTGCCCGAAAGTTGCAGTATAAATGAAGAGTGGTAAACACAAGAAATAATAACCAGATTATCCTATGAGAAGAAGAAAAGATATGACATGGAGAAAAAATTCATAGAGAAAAAACTGATGGAGCTGTCCAAGTATAAATAAAGTTAGTTTAGTTTAAGATACTCCTGTAGTAATACTGGATCAGTAAAAGATTACTCTTACTGGATCTCTAGGGAGAACAGTTTAGAACTGATAGAGCTATCCAAGTATAAATAAAGTTAGTTTAGTTTAGGTTTCCACCTATAGTAACACTGCATCAATAAGAGATGACTCCTACTGGATCTCTAGGGAGAACAGTTTAGAACCAAAAAAGCTAACCAACTAAACAAAATAATTTAGTTTATATAGTCCAATGAAAACCTACCGTTCTCGACCAGTAACCAATGGTACAAGAACAAGATTAACCAAAAATGCAAGAAGATTAACCATGGTCTCCTATAATGCATCACAAAAGTTCATTTAACAGTATTTGCTGCATGCTAGTGACATTCATCAAATTATAGAAAGTTTTAAACCTGACTTCCATCCTTTGCCGACACGTCCGCCATGTTGTCTCTTCTTGCTTGATGTTGTGTCAAAGCCGCCCGCGTTGCACCACCACATACACCAACCAGAGACTGAAACAACATGAAATTATTTTTATTGGTTGACAACTCTCAAATCAGCTCTGTCCAAGAGTGTGCACACTGCAAAATGCAACTTTTATCACTGTTAATGTGTGTATAATGGTATATTTACAGTGATAAAAATTCACATTGTTATAATCATCTAGATTCATTATGTGTGAAGACAGTACCCCAAAATGGCAGATATGACCCTCATGCATGAGAAAGGCTAATGCCCATATCCTAAAAGCTCATTGCTGTTTTTTAATAGCTGGAGGGTTAGTGTCGTACCTCACTATGTGACTACTCACCCTCCAGCTATTCAAAAACAGCATTGTTCCACTCTTTGAGTGTGAGTGAGCCTACTGTTGAGACCCATCGGAAAATTGTGCTATGGAAATCGGGTAAAGTGCTACGAAAGCAATTGTAACATTATTTTCCGGAAAATTTTTTACAAAGGGGGGGAGATTTAAAGTGTTGTTGTCCGGGGGATTTTTTGGTCGGAAAAGTCCATAGAAATAATAGACATAGAATGCGTGCTCCTATCTCTTCTCAGTAAAAATTTTGTCTCCACAAAATGGCGGATTTATAAGGGCATTTTGGCTAGTCCCAGACTCCTGTGGCGTGGAATTTCGCGCGGTGCCGGGAGTGCGAATTGTTTTTTTCAACAAAGTTTGCAAAAACAATTCTATCCAGACTTGAAGTGGAAAAAAAGTGTTTTTAATGGAGAAAAACCCATTCCCGTGGGTTTTTTTACGAAGAGCAATAGTTCTGAACAGAATATATAGAGAAATCGTCGTTTCAAAATACATTTTCAACGTTGTTGTGCAAGCCAAAACAAAACACGAAAAATCAAGACAAACTGAAACTCAATAGGTATGTTTTAAAAAATATATTTCAACTGTTTTATAATATAAATAGAGTTCAATAATCTTTTTAAACTTACACAACTACTTTTTATACTTTTTTATACGTTGCTTGAGCTTGAGGCAACGCTTTTGAAACCATATATATGTTTTCGACGATCATTTAGGCGATTTACAGTTTTAAATATCAACAACTAAATATTTTTGTTTCAAAAACATGAAAACACTTTGTTTAGATTGAAGAAAAACAAAACCCAACGAAGAATGAACTATCATCTCGTAATTTTATAAAGTATTAGCAAAACATTTACGTTCAGAGCTTGCAAAAATGTTTTATGAGTAAGTTATATTTTATACGCGAAACTACACGAAAATCTACTTGTTTTTTATACAAGGCTGCACGATTTTCACCGTTTTTGTAACGGCACATTTGCTTTGAGCCCTTAAAGAACTTAATATTTCAAATTCTATCCCCAAACTACAAATACCAAACGTTTTGACGATGAAAACTTTATAGTTTTAGTTTTGTTTATACTTTGCAGTTTGCACTCCTACTCAAATTCAACATGGCGGATTTATAAGGGCATTTTTGTTTTCAGTTTGGACACCGGTCACGTGACCAAGCACGCATTCTAGGTCTAATATTTCTATGGAAAAGTCCTACCCTTGCCCCCCAAAAAAAACATGGGTCCCATGGCACCACTGGAGTGAGCTTTTAGAATACAGGCATAAACGGGACTCACCCTACATATACTGGACATGCAGGCAAAAAGGAGCAAATAATCTCTGAATCTTGGAGCCAACAACTCAATACAATAAGTAAGATCATTGATAACATCTGCTGCTAGTCTGGAAATAAAATGATATCCTAAGTATCATGGTTGAACATTTGAGGGCATCAAAATTATACCACCAAGTATTTTTACACCACCTCCATTTCTTGGCATGACAGTCCAGTTCAGTCCTTAAAAACAGAGAATAGTTTAACTTTTTAATTAGGAAACTGGACAAAACCTCCTCCTGGCAAGGTCCCAAGATATTGCCTTTCCAAATAAATATGAATTTGCATGATAAGGAAAATGGCACACATCTCCTTGTACCCATTTGTACCCCTCCCCCATCCCATCCCTTTGGTAATGACAGGACTATTGAAAATGACTACAGATATTAACAAAGGTAAAATAACAAACCCTTTAAGCCATGTAAAAACTATCCTTCCCACCATTCCAGCTCCATCTATATAGATCAGACACAAAACGTAGAGTGGGTGCAATTTTCCAGGGGGAAGGGGGAGATTTTTTGAAGTGGGGGACAATTTATTTGTGAAAATTTACTGGGGGTTGATTGTCCTGAGGAGGATCGAATTACATTTAGGAGAAGTGGGGGCACACTCCAGAGAATATTCTCGAGATACCTTTTAAAAGCCAGGTAAATGTGGCTGCAAGAACTGTTGCCTTTTCATCACCGACACCATACGCTTTTAACATGGCCTGCGCTGCCAGCGCTGCTACTATAGAGGAACAAAATGCCTGGGCAGACAGAAAACATTATTTTATAATAAGATAGCTGATTAACACAGGTGACAGGTAACTGTGGCAGGAATTGAACCTGCGGTCCTGGGATGAAGGTTGGGGAATCAGGGACAACTCCTAACCCTATTAATCCTGACATCATTTTGCGATGGTACATTAGGTGATTAGGAAAATCACCCAGATACAGCTATACTCTACCTGACATGTATCCCATATTTGGTATTCCAGATAATCACTGCTAACACTCTTAGGATATCCTTGTGGTAGAAATGCATCCTATTAATTATTAAATATATATAGGTCAGTTGGACCTTGGCAAGTATAAAAATCATCTTGAAGCGTTTATATAAACCCATTAAGCTGCAAAGCTTCCCCATTGGCCATTGTTTGTACTTTGTACTAGACAGAATAAATAATTGTGTTTTACTATATTTTACCTTAATAAACTTATTAATGGATGTGAAACCGCTATTTTCATACAATCGTTCCTTTTTCAACTGTCCTGTTTCTGAAGAAATCAAATACTGAGCTCTAAGCGATTCTTCTCCGTAGCTTTCTTCTGCAATCAATTCAGCCACCATTTTGAATAAATTAAAGTTATCTCAACACTGATCTCAAATCTAGGCCTGAATAGAGCAATGAGTCACCTTTGAAGCCATTTTTATAATGAAAAGAGATTATTAAAAGTTCTCAAATAGGTGTTTATACTAATTTTACGTTCAAAATAGTCTTTTCCCATGTTACTTGAAAGTATAACTCACCACAGATGTTTATATTTATCACACTATCCAGTTGTAAACTTTTGAGATCAGTGAGTTATTCCCAGTCCGCCAAAGAAGTTTGCCGAGTAAAACTTTCAAGAAAAAGGCGGGAAAAGTTTTTTTGAAAAATAAAAAATCATCAAGACAATATGGAAATGCTAAAAAGAAGCTAAATTATTGATATTAAAGTGAAAAAACGTACAAAGAACTACTAAAGAATATTCAGAATTGACTGTAACCATGTTTTCAAATTTGTCAGGTAAGAAAATTTATGAAAAAACTCCCGTGAAAGTGGTACTTGTCAGCAAGTGTTTCGACTGAATACTGATGAATTTAAAGGGCCGTTTAATAAAAACATTTTTAAAGTCCTTTTAAATGTGAAGCAGTCTTGTTTTGTTGAATTAACGGTTAACAATTTTCTTTGTGACAACAGGAAGGCAAGGAATGTCAATTTTCAACCGAAGGAGACGTCCAAGACAAGCCGTTTACGCCTCGCCGCAAAGTCAAAACCCAACAACACCTTTGGAAATCGATATCCCGGACGAAGCGCTCGCTGAAATCGCTCAGGACTTCGAGAACAGTCCTAAAAACTATAACCATTTTGCTTCAAATAATAAACCCTATGCTTCCTACCAAAACAAAAGACCTTCTACGCAAAATAGACAGTTTTCTGTGCCACAAAAGCATCCAAATAATCAACTTTATGGCAACGAAAATGCCCTGCCGAAAAAGCCAAAATTTGAGCAAGACAATTGCTTCTGGGGAAAAAATGAGAATAGTTTTGGACAACAGCAAAACAAGGGCATGGCCAAACCTGGTTCATATACAGGCAATACCGGGAACGCGTTTTCAAGCACGTTTCAAAATTCCACAAGGAAAAGTTTTTCATTTGTGGAGAAGTATGTCAATGTACATTGCGTGCGTAGTTTTGTCTAAATAAAAACCTTTGTAATTGTCTAAACTAAATTTATTAATACTGGATACCATTATCTTACTGTAGATGGGTAACCATATGCTAACCGACCTATACGCGCGATATTTTATCATTTCTGTATTTTTTTAGAAACGCAATGCCAAAGAACAAGCCTCAACAGTCATATTCAGGACAAAAATTTGAATACTCCTGGAACAACACCAACTATGGCAACAGTCCAGCCAAGGGTACCACAGCTGCTGATGCCAGACAACCTAGAGTTAGTGAAAGAGCTTCTTTTGGTGGTGCAATGAACATAAAGAAAGAAAGTCCAATTGCAAAGGTATAGACTTAGAAACATCAAACATCATGCTAATGCACTCATTTACAAACTTTATTTATGCAAGATTGTTCTATCACTTCTAAACTGTTTCCTCTGCTGCTCTAGTGCTCTAGTCTAGAGGTCCAGTAAGAGTCATGCCTTCCAGGTTATTGTTGCAGTGTTACTACAGGAGGAAACCAGAACTAGTCTAACTTTATTTATACTAGACCCATTGCACTGACGTCACAAATCCTTAAAGTGTCCTCCAGATCACAGAGAAGAGATATAGTGTCCAGATGTTCCCTAACAATTGGGAATTTTAGATTCGCTACGGCTACGAAATCTCAAGTACGACTACAAGATTTTTTCCATTAAATATCAGCTACTAAAAACTTATAATGGTATACGTATAAAGATGTGGTATGCAAAAGAAAGGACGATAAAAAGTCTGCAGTAGCAGATATTTAACGGAAAAAATCTCGTAGTCGTACCAGATTTCGTAGCCGTAGCGAATCTAAAGTTCCCTAACTATCTGTTCGGGTACAACAACCACATACAGTGCAAAAATTAACCATTTTAATACAAAATTATTATAAAGTTTTACAAAATTCGCTTTGTTTACAAAAGTTATATTATGCATAGATTGCTAATTTGTATCGTCACCGGCGCTATGACGTCATGTGCAATGGGTCTATAGATAGCTCTATCAGTTCTAAACTGTTCTCTCTAGACTAAGAGGTCCAGTAAGGATCATGTTATTTTGGGAAAAGGACACTTTTTACAGAAGAAGTTCCTTAAGACGAAGAATATATCACATATCAGTACCATGGCTATAAAGTACACCGAAATCTGGCCTATTTTATTGTCATGGTTTACCTCAATGGCTCCTTTTCAGAATGATGTCAACCATCCCAGTGGCAGTAATGAGCCAAGTTTTACACTCCAGACAGTTGATAAAACTATGAAATTTGTAACAACAACTATACAAGGAGTAAGAAAATGGAGCGAGTATAGAGACCAAGTGCCTCTTACCTTTGAAATATTTGGTGAGTATCAGTAGTGGTTTGCAGTAAGAGAGGCGCCCCCCCCCCCTCCGCCCCCGACTTTAAGGAGCACGATACAATCAACATTTTTGATAATCTGGGCTTTACTTAGCACAGTACAAGAGTAATATTACGCTTGTCTTTTTCAGTGACATTGGATTCAGTCCCAACATCTAACAACAACGGCACAGCGAAACTGTTCAATATTAAAGATAGTACTGGATCAAACAGGTTAAAAAATACTCGTATTTTGATTTCTCGGATATAGTACAGCAATTAAGATGATTCTTTAGTAATCTTGTAGTAACTTGTTCGTCTTTTTTCCAGATGTATCTACTGGGAAATGGTAAGAATTGAATCTTTGATTTTTGTACTGTTCCAGTGAACCAGAAATCGTTGGTAATTGACTGACACAAAAACTATTGCTTTCTACAGGATCAAAAACTCCCAAGAATGGCAAGAGGACAAATGTACAGGTATGATCACAGTCACAATGTTATTTTTGTTCAGTAAGGTTTTGGTAACATGGAGTATACGTTTACATAGATGATGGTAATGTTCAGAGCTGTCTATTCAAATACACGCTACTTACAGCGCTAATCAGGGGCAGCGGAACCGGGAGGGGGGGGGGGGCATGTGAAAAAATGCCATTTTTTTCTAGGCTAAAGTGCCCCATTTAAAGAACGAAAAAAGTATTTCTTGAATGAACGCCCTCTTTTGCTGGAAAGAAAGTGCCCTTTTTACAGTAGTAAAGACTCTGTAAAGGCCATTTCCGACGTTATAGAGACTCCATATTTTCAAACATTTTTGTTTGGCTCGTGAACGACATAAAATCGTTTAATTTTGCAATTGGTCATATATAAAAGTGCCCCTTTTGACCAATGCCCCCCCCCCCCTTTCAAAATGCTTCCGCGGCCTCTGGCGCTAATTTGGAATCTATTTTTAGAACTGTTGCATTCTCTATTTGTACATAATTATATTTTATTGATAGTTTTATCTACTGATATAAGAGGGGATCATCTGGAGGTTATCATGTCTCCTCTCCTGTCACCTTATTTGTAAATTTGTGACGAATTTCGATAAACTAAACTTTTATAGATTGATAGGCGCTTTAGAGAGAAAGACGGGTCATTTTCAATGCTTCACAATCCGTCAAGCGCAAGCAAACGAACAAAGATTGGCCACACAACAAATTGAAATGTGTAACGATGCCATGACGAAACTAATCTCTATGATTGCAGAAGCCTAATTTTGTTGAACGTTATTGAATACAATTATTTATTAAATGTAAGACATATAATTTACGAATTTATTATAATGGTTCCGTTTCCATTTGTACATATGAATATAATTGTGCAGAAATTTTATTCAATTAATGTAAAATATTTTGATTCGTGTACAACATTGAACAATAATGTAAGTTGAGTGTATTGAAATAAAATACTGAGAAACTTGACTCGTTAAAAGTGTTGTTAAAGTAAAATTTTTTCTGCAACAACTGACCCAAACCTATGCTATTTTAGCCATCAATTTAAAAGAATATGATGAAAAACTAATTCACATGCATCAACGACTTTACTAAAATAACACACTTCTACGCCACGATCAGTGGTATGCGTTTTTTAATTTTTCTCTCCAGAGAGTAGCACTCATTACTAGTTACATTACACCAAACTATACCAGTCTACAGATAAATCCACCACCACCACCACCAGAGAATATTTTCTGCCGAATATTAGTCAGGGCACAAAACAATGTTTAATGACATGCCAGTTACGTTGACCGCTCAGTCCCATTTGTGATGGTCAAAGTGTCAAACGCAATTTCTGAGTGGACAACTCCCAAGAGCCCTCCCAAACACTCAAAAACCATGTAAATTATATTGTACGCTATTTGACTTGTGGTGCGTTGGCACTTAATGTTCAAACAAGCTTCCCAGAGAAATAATTTTGACTGGCAGTGATACAGTGACACGATTCAAATATAAAAAAAATTAAGAAAATCCTTACAAGAAATCCTTACAAATAGACAGAATATGTCAGAAATAAATTTCGCTTCCAGAGCTAAAATATGACTCTCCTACAAATTTAACCTATCATCAAAATTTGTCCCATCATTGACTGCTGACCGACCATTATTTTGAGCCCTGGTAATGCTGGTATTAGTTATTTACAACTCACTTTATTTAATACATTCAGTAGACTATCATCGACACAATTTGTCTGTTACTATGATAAAGAATGTATGAACAAAACAATCTTTGGAGGACATATGACAGTATTGACAAACACATCAACTGCTCGACACTACAGTTGCTGAGATCTGTCTCGCAAAATATGATCAATTCCTCTCGCCTTGAGTTCTCTTATTATATGCATTGGTAGTTTTCCCGTCACTGATACAGCATAGCACCCCGGTACCATATTATCTAGAAAAACCAACAACACACATCAGAAACAAACTTTTGTATAAAATATACAACCACTTGTTTTTGGCTTACAGTGTTTATATATTTCATGGCTGCTTATGTTATATATAATGTATTACCCAATTTCTGCCATCTGGCCACCCAGCTATCATCACCACTTATCAACGAAATTATACTGCAAAAATACATGGAAAGAATTATCAACTACATTTGCACAATATCGACAATAACAACTGTAATATAAAAACAGTACTTTCATACCCATCATAATTTGAACTAGTACAGCTACTGATATTCTCTTTATTGCCTTTTAAACGTAGAAATTTTTCACAGTTGTCGCAACCATCAAATTCAAATTGCTCTGAAGTCTAAGGGAGGAAATTTGAAAGCGAAACAATTTATATTACAATTTAACATGTCAATATGTCATCACAAAACACCGTCAAATACTTGCATTGCTCGGGTGCAGCAATGTATAAAGTGCCCCAAATACACAAGAAAGAATAGAGAAATGAACAGTAAGAGTAGAATATTTCACCTTGATAAGAGAACACATCAAACATGCTCTTAAACCTCGAAGTTCTCTTGGCACTGTTTCCATCGCCATTTTGAATTGTTTGATTAGGTTAGTCACCAGGCACGTATTGTTAGAGCGCCAGTTTACTCTCAGGGACAGTTGGTGAAGGTGATCTATGGTGATCACCAAGCTTTGTTAGGTTCCATTTTATACTAATCTTGTTTTTGCCGCGTTCAGAACAATAAAAATTGCTTTCCTGTTTAGGTATAGCGGTAACCCAAGAACTAGAGGCGCTCCATGCATGGGCATTTATTAATTTATTTATTATTACAGTTCATGAGCCAAGGAATATTACACGGGTATATTATTTTAATCTGTGTTTTTAGTAAGAGTTACGGGATAACGGGAGATTAACTTCAGAGCAAGAAAATTAAACTAAATTTCTCGATTTTATTTTCTTGCCTCCATATACAAGACTACTCTCCGCATTTTTAATCACAGTCAAAACTCTCATCAAACCTCATGTAACTTTTGCTCTCGTCTGACTGAGGCATGAGAGTTGAGAAAATTCTCATCAACTCTGGCATCCCCGTTTGACTGGGCTTAATTCTGATGACAACTTATCATCATCTGCTCCACAAACTAGTGAAAGCCATGTATATATAATATATAATATACAATATAAATTATCACCTAATTAATATTATGCCTGATATATTCAATAAGACAATATCAATTATGGCTATATCGATGATTGGCTGGCAATGCCAGTGAATTCAACAATTGCTTCTTTCATTTCCAACGACAGCAAATTCGCTCGAAGATCATCAGTTACGACATCCTGCCCATCTAAGTATTGTAAAACAAGCAAACAAGTGTAAAATTTGTTATAAAAATAAAATATGTATTTACTGAGGCAAAAAATTATTAGCGCGTACCTGTGTCAGCCAAACATTTTAAGTCCACATTCTTTGGAAGTGTCTCGTTAAGACTGCTGTATTTAAGTTTCACTTCAAAATCAGGAAAATTATCACTAGAACACTGCAGTAAAAATGATAGCAGTGAGATCATTGGGGAAAAGCTGTAAACTAAACTGTAACTTGATTTATACTGGATATAGTTCTATCAGTTCTAGAGGTCCAGTAAGGGTTACCCTCACAGTATTGTTCCAGACTTCCAGCGGTAAAGGCCCATTACCACTCAGGAAAATTTTCAGCGAAAGAAAGTTTTATAAAATGTGATTGGCCGACACAAATTTTCCGTCGGAAAAAAATTTTGAAGTTGAAAATTTTCATGGAGTCTGAAAGGCCCATTTCCACTCAAGAAAATTTTCCAAAAATATCATTGTTTGAAGTTGAACATTTTCAAGTTCAAAACGTTTTTCCGACGGAAAATTTGTGTCAGCCAATATAATTTTACAAAGTTTTCTTTCTGCGGAAAATTTTCCTGAGCGGTGGAAATGGACCTTTACTGTAAAAGTTGAAATTTTTTTCCGATGGAAAATATGTGTCGGCCAATAACATTTCACAAAATTTTCTTTCTGCGGGAAATTTTCCTGGGTGGAAATTGGCTAAGAGTCTAAATTGGCAATCAGACAAATGCTCACCTTCAATGTAAACTTCACAAAGTCAAATGCAAGAGTGGCGTAAAAATTCTCCACAGAATAATCTTCGTTACCCTCTTTGAACTTCACACACTGTTGGAGTAAAGTAAATTATATACTTAGTATCCAATATTTGTTTGCACAATATTTGAAGCATTTTAAAACGACTTCGTGCTTTTAAATTCTAACCTGTTGCCTTCTTGAAACAAAGGCTTTTAAGTATCCACTTACGACTGAAAGCAGTTCCTATATAGACAATGTAATATAAGGTCAGTAAGGGGCTTTTCAGTATATGAGTCGGGCCAGACAGGATCGTGTCACGAAACTTTTTTCCTGACCTAAAAGATCGTTTGAATGAACTTAACATTGTTACTGGAATCAAACAAAGCTAATTCAACATTGAAATGTCATTTTGGATATTTATCAAAGCCGTGATAAGAGATTTATTAACTCATCCCAGTCTAGTATAAGTTTTAGTATAATATTCAGGGTGCGATAATTCGCGTACGTACGTGCCGCAGGTACGCCAATATAACTGTCTGGTACATCTTTGTTTTCAGCCACGTACCATGTATAGGTACGCGGTACTCTTGCTGCGTACTTACTTTTTGCTGGTACCACATGACCTTTCCACGCCCAAGGTATTCAATACCGTAATTTAGTTGGTATATCATGTCATGTGTCTGAGATGTCTTGGCATGAAACATGATTGGATTGACTGGCACTAAGAAACGTTGGAGTCGATTGTTTGTATATGCAATTGTGGTTCTTTTTCTACCTCGTAGTCTGCACATACTTTAATTCATAAACCTGTACTTTATGAACATTATTATAAGTACACATTGAGTACTGAGTTTGTACTAGCGCAAGTACGCGGAAACAACCATTGGCGTACCAGTCAGGCACGACTAAAAATCTTGAATTATCGCACCCTGAGTATATAGAGTGCTGACCTTAATATCTGCGGAATTTTCGTATTTTTGATGAATCTCCTCAAGGGGTATGAAAAACGGGATGGTATGTTTTAATATCTAGAAAAGAGAGTTGTTCAAAGTTATAAATGAAAGATTCACTCAACCGTTCATATTTAGTACCGTGGCACTCAACGTAGAAACTCAATTTCCAACCTTCATTTTATCGTCCTGGAGTTGAATCTCCATATAAAACGGCTCAAAATACTGCCCTAGAAAAGAGAATGCAACCAATGCAGTTTCTTAGAAATTTTAATACGAAGAGAAAGCGCAAGTTGACAATATGTAATTCGAACTAGTTTAACCCATTATCATTGAGTACCAGTGCTCTTCCCCTTGCCCTGGCTTGACCAGTGAAATCATTTAGCGTTAGGCAGAGTAAAATAATAAAGTACTTAGTAGAGTGCATTAGGGCGATTTTTTATAATTTTTTGGACAAATGATGGTAAATTTGCTTTGTAAATGGTTAGTTTATTTTGAAAAATTGCTTTTCACATTGTTTTAATTGTCTGTATTGGTTGAACGAGAATTAGATGCTACCCAAAAATGGCAAGTATTCGTCATCGTGAGAAAGGCTAAACCTCTATAAAATGGGTTGATTTACCCGAGTCTATAAATGGGTTGATGTACCTCTATAAAATGGGTTGATGTACCTCTATAAAATGGGTTGATGTACCTCTATAAAATGGGTTGATGTACCTCTATAAAATGGGTTGATGTACCTCTATAAAATGGGTTGTTGTACCTCTATAAAATGGGTTGATGTACCTCTATAAAATGGGTTGATGTACCTCCATAAAATGGGTTGATGTACCTCTATAAAATGGGTTGATGTACCTCAATAAAATGGGTTGATGTACCTCTATAAAATGGGTTGATGTACCTCTATAAAATGGGTTGATGTACCTCTATAAAATGTATCCAAACAAAAACGAACTCGGTTATCATCCAACAATACAAACGCCAGACCAGTCAAACGATATGCATTATAGGTCTCCATCAACTGCATATTGAATATAAAAAATGAAACACAAAAACTGCTAATGTACTTCTCTGATGCCCTAAGAAGCCCCAATAAAAATATTCCATAGATGCATACCTTCTTCTTTTTCACCAGTTCTACTGCCTTAAATAGATTGTCCTACATTAAACATGATAAAATTAAACATGAAAAAACAAGTGGAACACAAACTCTTTCCAATGAAATGTAATTAATTTGACATACTTCAATTGCAAGATCACCAAGAGGCACAAATTCACCTTCAAATCATAAACAGTAACAACATCAATAGCTGTTATCGTAATTGAATACGCCGCTGCGGCGAACCAGCGGTATCTCAGTGGAAGTATGCACGAAAACGAGGCTAAAGGGTCAAAAAACACAAAACATGACCCTATAGCCTTGTCTCCATGTCAAAATAATGCAGATACCACTGGTCCGTAGCATAGACGTATTCAATTACAATAACAGCTATTAAAGCCTTAACTTTGATAAAAATTGACTGACAAGGTAAAATATCAAATGTAGAGTGCATCATATGGTGCTTTCCATTTAATGGCCAGACCGCTTAGATCAGAATTTGTCTCGGTATTAATGGAAAGATATGGCCCACGTTTCTCGAAAATCTAGCGTAAATGGGCTTCCTTCTAATCTGATCCAAATATTCCGGTCAGAAGCCGAAACGTTTTGTGTTCCATTCAACAATTTGACCGTTCTGGCTGAGTTAATGGAAAGCGCCCATAGTATTCTAAGTATCACCTTCATTATGTTGTTCAACATAGTATTGTAGTTGGTTCAGTAACGACGTCTCATTAACTTTCTTTGACAATGCTTCCTTTTGTTTTAACAATCTGTTATCTATTTCAAATAATTGTATTGTTTTAGACATATATTACGGCTTGGCCCCCAAAAGTTTGTTTCAGGTTTCATAGTTGTTATATCATAGGTAGGAATCGAGAATATGTGACCTCATTCTCACTTTCTCCATGGTAAGCTATTTTTGAGGGGAGGTGCACAGTGCACATCAACCCTAAAATAATTTTGCATTTCCCCTCTGGTTTTTTACACCTCCCCTTGGGAATGGTTAAATGATAGATCAAAGTAAAAAATTGTCAATTCCTTGGGGTCTACACTTTACTGAGTTTAGTTAGGACTCGATCTGTACAAATAACAATACAAATATATATTTTATTTAATGGAATAATATAACAATATATGTGTGAAGATATAGAAGGCCACCTACATTTTTGTTCAAGTTCTAGTAGCTCTGCATCTTTTGTCCAGTGTAAACGTCCTTCAGACGAGCTGCCAAAACAGTAAATTTTGAAATTTTCAAATATAAATAATTTTGCTCATATATTCTTTATATAAACTGCAATAGGTACCTTTAACAACTGACTTGTATAAAACAATAGACATAATTAACAATTCTCTAGAATCCCACATTCTCTATACCTACTGCTCTGTTTTCTTAGCCTCTCAAATTCTCTCATTGTATTTCCTTTATACACCGCTCCTTCGTTGCCCGCCATCTTGATTCACTTTTCCCGCGCAAAATCCGTATTTCTGTTTCCAGTTGACGGAAAATAGTTTTCTATTCCCGTCGCTTGCATCTACGAATGAACACTCGCAGATAAAAAAATTGTCTATTTTCCAATGAGCATTTTTTATTCTTTATTTCTTGAGTATAAATATATTATCATACTTCCAGTGAATTGGTAGTATTATTGGAAACAGATAAGATTGTTCGTCTGATAATTTGTTTGTGCATAAATGCGGCAAACATCCATAGAACTTGCGTGCGCAATTCGTCTTGACAGATGATCCTGCACTATTGCCAATACAGATTGCGCTATTTTAGCTAGTTCGTCAAGGAAGTCAATCTTGTATAAATATATGAGGACATTCTATGCTTTATCATATGGACTGCCTCTAGTATATATACAGCTAATTCGAAAAGATTGTCCTTCGAAAATCTAAGCGCGCAAAGAGTGATGGGTACCTTCTTTTTAGGGCTTTTGATTGGGCAAATAATACTAGTACACTGCTAGTTGTAAGTGCTTATTATCTGTCTTGCCATAGTTACAATGCGAAATTCGCACGTTTTAGGCCTTAAGTAAGAAGTTACCCGTCAAATTTTGCGCGCTTAGGGTTTAGGGTTTAAGATTTTTGAAGGACACCCTCTTTTTAAACAGCTGTATATATATATATATATATATGGACGAACTATGGAATGAACCATGCATTCTAACTGCAATGCATCTCAAAAAATGGAAACGTTTTCCACACGCAAATTTAATATGAGATCAGTCTTGCAGTGTTTTTCCTGGTACAAAAGTTAGGATCCGTGACGTGGAGAACAAGGGACCGACCATGATAGCAAGGAGTGATGACATCCACCAGTGTCATTCCGTTTCTAGGTTACCTCAGTAGAGCGTCAAAGGTCGTTTGTGAGTTGAGCGCACTCGCTGCCAGTCGGGCTTGCTCGGGGAATTTTGAAGGATCCGAAAGAATACTCGTGTTCTTGATGAGTTCTCGTAGCGAAGACAAGACACCTGGAAAATAAAATCAGAGAACATTATTGTACACTTGATAGCTCTATCAGTTCTAAACTGTTCTTCCTAGAGGTCCAGTAAGGATCATCTCTTATTGATCCAGTGTTTAATACTACAGGAGGAAACCTAAACTAAACTAAGTTTATTTATACTACTGGATAGCTGTATCGTTCTAAACTGTTCTTCCTAGAGGTCCAGTGATTGATCCAGTGTTACTACAGAAGAAAACCTAAACTAAACTAACTTTATTTATACTAGTCCTAGAGGACCAGCAAAGGACATCTCTTATTGATCCAGTGTTACTACAGGAGGCAACCTAAACTAAAATAACTTTATTTATACTGGATAGTTCTATCAGTTCTACACTGTTCAGCCTAGAGGTCCTGTAAGAGTCATCTCTTATTGATCCAGTGTTACTACAGGAGGAAACTATTTATACTGAAAGTGAATTTGAAATTACAATGAAGGTTTTGTGGAACAGACAAAAGGAAGTATATACTTACTAGGTCTTAGTTTGGGTAAGGAACAACTTTCATTCAGCCAGTTTAGAACCGTTGTGTAAAACTCCTCTGAATTCGCTGTAGATACCGTAGTACAGTACGCTTCAAATACTGGACGCATTAATACACTGAACTGAGGATGATATTAAGGAAAGTCTTGGGATAAATACAGGATAAAGCAGGGTGTTAGCCAGATTATTAAAAAATCAGCAATTGATGATTCCCCTTATTACGCTTTCGTAGCGCTTTGGATTGTGGTTAGAGTGGTATCACTGATAAAGATAGCGGCCTCGAATGAAAATATTGAATGATTTCGCGAATATTTTGCTGTTGGCTATCGCGCACCTGACCCTAGGCTTTTTTTAAAAGTTCTTGCACCGGTCAGGACAAAAAATAAGCCATCTTGAATATCAGTGATACCACTATAACCACAATGCAAAGCGCTACGAAAACGTAATAAGGGGAATCTAGTATTTAATGAAATTGGCAATTTCAGTTAGCCTGCAACATTCAGACCGGAGTTAAGGAATATCATGTGACGTTCTCGTGGCCTACAGCCGGCTGAACTAAATTGAAACTTTTGAAGTGCAAGTCAACCTGACATTGTTTTGCGTACTAAAAACATAGAAATATATATTTTAGGCTACATGACATCCTCGCAACACTTATCGGTTATTGGCACTACCCACACTGGCCGTTCAGAGATTATATTTGAATGAGGATACGATCCAAAATTTTGGATTTTCTTCGGTTTGTTCTTGGATATAACGATTAAACATTAATTCCAGTTCAATGTAATCCTGAAGAAAGAGAATGCAAGAATTGAGCGAAAAAGATTTCGAGGTTAATTAAGAAGGCTGTCAAGTCCGTTCTGCTCATGTGCGTGTTTTGTTTACATTTTTTGTTTCAAACAATAGATAATTTAGTCAAACCACAGATCGGAATTTTAATTAAATTATCTATTGTTTGAAACAAAAAATGTAAACAAAACACGCGCATGAGCAGAACGGACTTGACAGCCTCTTTAACATTTTACATGTGGTCATGATCAAATGCACTTTACATCAAGTATTATACGCTTAGCTAAATACATACTTAATCTAGACTATTTTATTACAACAATTGTGATATTACTTTCTTAACTGTGTTTATCCTAACCCACCAGGGTTTATTTTAACGTGCAGTTCTACACAAAATGTGCAGTTCTAAACCCATTTGTGCAGTTCTTAAATCACAAATGTGCAGTCACCAAACTAACAAAAATAGCCTTAATTAAAACAGTCTTCTCATTTACTCATTACCCTTGTGGATGCTCCAGAAAATTCCAGAAATGCCGTCATTAATTGAGCATCAAAAATATAAACGATTTCTGGGGGAGGACTCTATTTTCCTCACAAAACACTTACGTGCTGGGGTAATGGAAAAGAAGGTGAAATTGGGACGACCGAAGCTCCCCAAAAGAGATTAGAGTGGGAGAACTTAATACTCTTTGCTGCCTCAAATGCAAATTTAAGGTTGTTATATATTGAATATCCATGATTCCCAGTACATGTTTTAAAACAGTTTTTGTGAGTGGTTGAGTAAAGCAAATCTTTGCCAGAACTTAACAGCCTCTAGCTCCCGCATTCAGCCCCTAGCTCCCGCACCCAAAAACGAGTTTGTCTGGCCTTTCTCCAATTCTCCCACCCAACCACACCATTATTCTGTCACCTATATCACAGATGAGGTAGGTACAGATGTGAATCTTCCGTCAAATTGCTGATTGTTTTGTGTCACACGGAATTCTCACTTCCGGCGAGCGCTGGCAAGTGTCGTTCTGAAATTTAATAAGGAAAGAGATAGGAAAACGCTGTTCGAAAGACGAAAAATTGTTTTTTTTAAAAATCTACGCTACCGACGGCTATTTTTGGAATTAATTCTTCAAGAGTAACGGTAAGCGATCACTTTTATTGATTTCTTTTTATTAAAAGTGTTAACATAACATTTTATTTAGCAAAAGTTTGATTTTTTCCCTATCTATTCCTTATTAAAATCGTGAAATACACTTGCTGGGAATTTCAGAGCTCATGTATAATAACAAAACAGCGAATGATATAAATTCCTCAAAACATAACTCTGGCATAAAAAAAACATGAATACTTCTATAATATGTTTTGTTTTATTCCTCTGCATTATCAAAATTTAATAAAATAGTGAATTAATACAATTTTAAAGTTTATTTAATCCGTGTGACATAATTTGCCGTGAGATTCATATCTGTACTTACCTCATCTGTGCCTATATGCAGGGAAAAAATCCTTCGACGCCCTCCCCCCTCCCCCCCCGCCCCCCAAGTCAAACACACGTTGCCCTCGTAATATCCCTATGTGTGCAGTTCTAAATTTTTCTTAAAATAAACCCTGTAACCCACCCTGTCAACTTTCCCTGTGGGAGGAAACCGGAGGACCCGGAGAGTAAACCCACGACTTTCGGCAGAGCGTTGACTGACTCTTTTCACATGAGTCCGTAGCGAGAATCGAAGCCGAATCAGGTTAAAATATGAAGAGCGTTCGTACCTGTTTGTTCACCATCACACCAGTTTCGGGTAACTGTTGTTGACAATTACTACATGGAAAAATAAGTTGGTATAAAGGTCTTTCGTTGTACACAGGAGCGTACCCAGCTCAAAACGAGTGAGGGTGGTGTGGGGGGTGGATTGGGGGTGGGGGGGGGGGGGTATCCAATCGTCGAATACACAGAACGAACATTTTGAGGGAAATGACTCAGTGTTGAACACTAAGTCAGTTTAAAGACAGGTCGGTTCAAAAAATTATTTATAGTACATTTAACTTCGATTCGTAATTTTATATTTTTTTAAAAAATTTAAAGACCATGTAAAGTCCGTAATGTAAACAAACGCTTTGTTTACATTTTGAACTCAGTGCTGCAGTTGTAAAATACGATTAGATATATATTATACTAAATTTTTAACACTCTTCTGGTTCGCTATGCTTGTAAATGAATACAGGCTGGAGATTCAATTCAAAAAAGTTCAAAAGATACGAATTATTAATAACATTCCCGACCATTGGAATGTAAGCCTGCGCAGAACGTACGCGCAGAACGGACTTTACATGGTCTTTAAAAAAATTTCTTAATTAATCTTGTAAATATAACATAAATTTTACGCAATTCATTGTAAGAGTATTTCAGCGTAATTCAGTGTTTTGACTGCAAAGCTGGTACCTTTTGTAATAATAAACGACTTATCTAAACATTTCTTACAAATCCTTCAAAACGTAGAATTTACCTACAATGCAAAATTCTTACTGTGATCTCAGAAACTTTGATAGCGTAAACCAGAGACTCTGTTTGACGAACCTTATTTCAATATTTAGTTCTTCGATATCTCGCTTCAGTTTCTCCCGTTCTTTCAGCATGCGTTGCTGTTCTTGTTGAACTTGCAAAATGTAGTCGACAGCTGAAAGAAAACATATTATATAATAACTACAGTGAAACACGCAATTTGATTGGTCAATAGCCGTGCAAGATCAGGCTATCCCGCACGAGGAATTAAAATGCCTTCGTGGGATTTTCAAAATGTCATTGTTTCACTGTAGTTATTTTATAAAACAATTATACCAAATGGTTTTCCAAGCAGGATAGCGTGATCCATGCACTTGGGATGTTGCTCGACTTTCGGAAAGCGTAAAAATACACTCGCCTGCGGCTCGAGTATTTCTACGCTTTCCGAAAGTCTCGCGACATCCCTCGTGGCCTAGTGCATGCATGGATCACGCAATCCTGCACGGAAAAAAAATCGGTATTCCCTTATTCAGGAAACATATTTATATTTAGAAAAAAATTATTTCATTATTCCATTCAGTTTTGATAACTGTAGACACTTACATTTTCTTAAAATAGAAGCTTTACTTATTTTCGTGTTTCCTTGCGAGGCCAGCGAAGGGACCATTTCAACCAATTGATCAAAACCCATCTAGATAAATATAAATACTCGTGTGTCAAAACCCCAGTGAGTCGCTGGCGCAATACAATACAATACAATACAATACAATACAATACATTTAACGTGAAACAATTACACTTAGCTACACTCAGCTAATTTACAGGTAATGCCACGAATTTCTAACTATTATATATCTCAATATCTACATAAATCAACCAAATAACTATTTACACTAATTATGCATTGGAAATATCCAGAATATGCTCAATGTCAATGTCATTTATACTGTTTTTAAAAGCCTAGCTTATAGTTCTCTGCCGATCTAACTAGGTCGGGAAGAGCGTTCCATAATTTGGCGGCTTGATACCGCCAAGACTTCAGTCCATACGTGGTCGAATTTACTTTGGGCAGTTTTAAAATATCTTTACCTCTAAGCGAGTATGTACTTTGTCTGAGATTTAGAAAGACTTTCAGTCATTTATTAATTTATATACATTCGATATTATTTTCTTAACTCTTTGCTGTCTCAATGGTATAGTTCCTATTTTATTAAGCAGTTCTTCATATGGAGTAGATTTCAAACATGTTTTGTGAATACCTTAATGTGACCCCTTCTTTTCTGCTCAGCTGATACATGAACCATTCTGCGATGTTCCTAGACAATTTGATTGAAAAATTCATTATCCGCCTTCGTGCAATCGGCTCGCGGTGGCCTGTGTCTATGGTATTCTCGGGCCGTGAGCTCCATATATTTTTGCTCACATGGTATTATTTTGGCTTACCTTATATTTTTCTTTAGGTACTTTTCTAGATCGTGGTCCTGAGCGACTCTGAAAACAAAACGCATTGAAGAAAATTTTTTAAATCTTAGAGCACCAGATAGTGGACTCGCATATCAAGGTGGAATATCATTAAGAATTATTGAAGACAAAAATACCTGAGGTTCTGAGTCTGTGTTTGTGTTGTCTTGAACGGTTGGAGATGCTGGGCCTACAACGAGAATACGTTTATAATTCATATCATAGTCTTTCAAAACACTGTTTGGAAACTCCGCTAAAGTCTTTGTTCTATCTTTTTGTTCGCGTTTATGCAGTTTTGTGCACAGTGCACGGTCAATGAACACATTGTATTTCAGGAAAATTTGAATGAATCATCCAACAGCAACGATTCAGTTCAGTCATTCAACCATGCTATTTAAATATTAATAAATCTTAAACAAAGCATGTGCACGGTGTAAGGTACGGCTCAACATAAACTCCCAGCTCATTATAACCGTTTTGAAGTTTACTGAGTTTCCAGACCATGTCTCCAAAGACTATGTTCATATAAAACTTGAACACCGGATCAACCGAGGACGAGCCTTACTACTCTGCTAGCAGAGTATCCACATACAGGCATGATAGGAAAAGCTCAAAAAGTATTTCATACCGTCTCTGCTGTTCGTCACGTCAGTCTTGGACGACGAAGACGCCTGAGCCTCGCTATGAACGGTTGATGTCTGGTAAATAGAAAAAATATCTTGAAGAATGTTATCCAGTATAAATCAAGTTAGTCTAGTTCACGTTTCCTCCTGTAGTACCGCTGGACCCTTACTGGATCTCTAGAGAGAACAGTTTAGAAATGATAAAGCTATCCTGTAAAAATAAAGTTAGTTTAGTTTAGGTTTCCTTTTGTTGTGACACTGGATCAATAAGAAATGATCCTTACTGGACCTCTAGGAAGAACAGTTTAGAACTCATAGAGCTATCCAGTTTAAATAAAGTTAGTTTAGTTTAGGTTTCCTCCTGTAGTAACACTGGATCAATAAGACATGACTCTTATTACTGGACCTCTAGGAAGAACAGTTTAGAACTGATAGAGCTATCCAGTATAAATAAAGTTAGTTTAGTTTAGCTTTCCTCCTGTAGTAACACTGGATCAATAAGAAATGACCCTTACTAGACCCATAGTCTATCGAAGGGAAGATGGCTGTGAAACTCATTAGAATAACAATACAACTCATTATCTAAGTTAGTCAACGTTTATTCATAAATCTGGTCCTTCACCGTCACGTGCTTATTGTATTTTGGCCAAATCCACCAATAGCAATCTCCAATTTCCCTATTGTTCGAGTCACGGATAGGTAACTTTCCTAAAACATTGCTATTGGTTAGTTGGGCAAAAATACAATACACACGTGACGGTGAAGGACCAGATTTATGAATAAACGTTGATTAACATAGATAATGAGTTATATTGTTTTTCTAATGAGTTTCACAGCCATCTCCCCTTCGATTAGTGCTATGCTAGACCTTAAGGGTGAACATTTTGGAACTGACAGAGCTATCCAATGTAAATAAAGTTAGTGTTTATATACTTACCATACTTACAGAAGGCGTGGTCATAACCATGGATGGTGAATATTCAGTGCTTGGGTTTCCTGTATCTTTTCTCCGACCTCTGACCTGCTTATGAACTGGAGAACTCTCCGTCACTCCCAGACTACCTTGTACAGACATCGGATAATCATCAGTGTCCGCGATCTGTATGCACAACGGTTCTGACATATGCGTAAGAGTATGCGAAGTTGTACCATGATTGGTGGTGGTGGTGGTCTCATTCCCCCACCGGGAAGTCAGCCCCTCCATCACAGGATTCGAGGATGCAATGCTAGGCACCCGAGGTTCGGGCGATGCCCTGTTTTGAACAAGCATATTTTGAACGATGTTACTGTTTGATCGAATACCACTTCTTTCACCGATCGCAGGAGATTCTGTCTTTGCGCTCGGTCTGGGAGTCTGGGGCTTACGTCGACACCGGGGGGCTGTGACTGTAGAGGTGCGAGGGGGTTGGGATGTTGGGTAGGGTGGGGGTTTAGAGAGAGAGGTTTGCTGCTGCTGTTGTTGTTGTTGTTGTTGTTGTTGTTCTTGTAACAGACTGGCCATGCTGCTTGCCGCCGAGGTTATCTGTCAACGAACATTTCAGAAATTAGTGGGTTTTAATCCCCGGTCAAACAAGAGTTGGCAGGCACGAATGGGCAATTCCAGCTGTAGACTAAATTGATCTAGGCAAGAAGAACAAAATCCATCACCACAGCTAGAAAGAGCATGTTAGGATTAGTAAAAGTGCAAAGTTTGGTTGTGAAATGTTGTAAAATGCGGAAAATATAGCCCTGCGAAATTTGCAAATTTTGTATTAATATTTGTATTACGGGCGGGAAAATGCACCACATTTGGACCGAAAGTGATGTAAATTCCAGTGCGTAATACAAATTAATACAAAGTTTGCAAATTTCATAGGACTATATTTTCCTCATTTTACAACATTTCCCAACCAAACTTTGCAATTTTACTAATTCTAACATGCTCTTTCTAGCTGAGGTGATGGATTTTGTTCTTTTTGCCTAGACCAAAATGTAGTCCATAGCTAGAATTGCCCATTGTTACAAGGGACATTTCAAGTTCAAGACTAACAAAATAAAGGTTTGAAGAGTGTTCCAGCTATGTTTTAACTTCAATAGAATACATGATAGTGTTGGGAAAGCATTAAGATTAGCTAACCAAGATCGCGTGACTGTCAACCCTCATGTACCCTCATCCTCGTTTCATCCCAAAGCGTTACAGGGGAAGCAGAGAGTAAACAAGAAATTGATCTACATCTTTCAATTCTATTTATTTGCGTTCAAATACAAGATTACTGCAGATAATGAAAAGAATAAAAATTATTTTCTCACTTTGATAATTGCTGGTCGACCAGCATATGCTGAAAGATACTGTTTAGAACTTTAGTGAACTCTAAATATACTTTCTGTATCCTGCACACCTACCTGATGTGAGATAGCTTGAGCCTGCGGCACAGTACCCGCGGCTGCCATACTGGTGAGCTTATGAAGAATTTCCTCCATCGAGATTCCCTTAGTCATGAGGTGCGCCACCATATCATGTACAAGCTGTGACGGATGCGGGGCTGCCCCCTCGCCCCCGGGGTGGAACAGTTGACGTTTAGTGAACACGTGTGGAGTATGCTCCAGCGTGCCCGCAGGCTGGGTGGAAGTAGCCCGCATTGAAGGAGGGGAATCGCCAGATTCAGAATCACGTCGGGCTGTACTTGACGTTTGCTCGGTTTGTCGAACCAACGACGCTAAAGCAGAATCCGACCTATTTCTTGGAATTCGTCCCAGTCTTTTGGCCCTCACTCCGCCTACTTGTGGAGCTTTCTTAAGCTGCGAGCTTGAATCTAAACTTGCAAGACCTGGGGCGGACTTATTACGAGGTATACGAAGTCTTTTCGCCTTTTCCTCGATTAGCATTTGTCGCGGTTTTGTCAACTTAAGTTGCGCGACCAAATTCGGGGCCTGGAGCTCAACTGGTAGGTGCGGCCGCAGTTTGGATGGCGAATCACCAGCGGCAAGTAGGTATAATTGTGAGTCCGAGGCATTCCGTGGCAAGCGACCAGCGGCTGCTTCGACAGCGCATGCGCTAGGAAGCCCTAGTAATCGTTTTCCGATACCTAAAGGTGGTACATAGGGACGCGAGCTGATAACCGGATTAGATACACCAATATCCATCTCTGTGGATGCATTTGGCACCTGTCTCGCCCTACCGGCATTTTGTCGTTGTTGCGCACAATTCCCCGGCATTCCGATGGTTTGGTACCCTATTATATTGGGATGAATAACAGGCGACGATGTCCATACGGGCAACTGAGCTTCCATCTGACTGCACGAACTTGCTGGATAGTGTGTCGATACAGTACTCGTCTGTGCAGGCCACGATGTTTTTACTGGACTGGATGAAACCATACTCCGCATAGATGATACATAAGGTTGAGTATACTGGCCTGAGTGGTCCATTGGTTCAACTCCGGTGGCGGTTGACGAGTGAACTAAACCCATTGAAGGATCGTAGTTTTTCTCCAACGAATCGAAGTCCCAATTAAGCTCTGCGGAGAAAAGAGGTACCGTAAGAATTGTTTTGACGATCGCGCTTTGTGTTTACATTAAGCTGTCTGCTTTTTGTGAATCTCTCTGCCTTCGGGGGAGAAATGTCGCAATTTTAGAATGCAATGTCATGATGCTTTCAACTCATTACGCTGCCGTAATTTGTGTCTGAAAAAGATATCTCAAACGTGGTGGTCCAGTGGAGGTAGTATTCTACCTGAAAAAGATATCTTAAACATCGTGGTCCAGTGTAGGTCACTGGAAAAAAATGTAAAATCCATACTATGAAATTTGCAATTGCACCACTAAATCCATAGTATATCCATACTATTTCGATACTATATCCATAGTATGAAAATATACAATTATTATGGATAACCAAAATCCATTCTATTTCCAATAAAGATCCATACAAATTCCATTCTATGACCTTCTATGGATTTTCAAAATTTTTCCCAGTGCGTAGTATTCTACAATACGCTGTCGTGGTTTGTGTCTGAACTACGTGAAAAAGATATCTCAAATGTGGTGGTCCAGTGTAGGTATATAGCATTCTACAATAGGCTGTCGTGGTTTGTGTCTGAACGACCTGAAAAAGATATCTCAAACATGGTGGTCCAGTGTAGGTATATAGCATTCTACAATAAGCTGTCGTGCTTTGTGTCTGAACGACCTGAAAAAGATATCTCAAACATGGTGGTCCAGTGTAGGTATATAGCATTCTACAATAGGCTGTTGTGCTTTGTGTCTGAACGACCTGAAAAAGATATCTCAAACATGGTGGTCCAGTGTAGGTATATAGCATTCTACAATAAGCTGTCGTGCTTTGTGTCTGAACGACCTGAAAAAGATATCTCAAACATGGTGGTCCAGTGTAGGTATATAGCATTCTACAATAGGCTGTTGTGCTTTGTGTCTGAACGACCTGAAAAAGATATCTCAAACGTGGTGGTCCAGTACTAACTACCTGAAGAGGATATCTCAAACGTGGGGGGTCTAGCGGCTTACCGGAGCCTTTCATCGAGGATTCTAATTGTTCAATTAATTCATCGAGGACAGGTGTCATGGCCTCTAGACTTGGCTGCAGAGTGTCTAGTGTTGGTTGTACCGTATCTGCGGTATCTGCAGAGAAAATAATACAAATAGACACTCAGCGTTACATCCTGAGGTTATAGACACATACGTTTTTTGAGGGCGATGGATGATGGTGGCCGGGTTTCATTCCTGCAGTTGTCTGATTATAATTTCACCTCAGTCTAATGTGAGAAGTAATATTTCAAATCCGACTACCAGATAATCTTGATACGCGGAAAAGTACTGGCACTAGTTGTCAAATAGAAATCCATTTTATGATTAAAACAACTGAATATCTCCTGTAATATACTTTATTTCGATTCCATATTTTTGTCAGAGCTATAGTTCTCATAACTAAACATAATTACAAAATTTCAACTAGTTTCATAAAGAATAATGAAAGATATAATTGACTGAATACATCAAAATGGATTTCTATTCGGACAACCCTTTCTGAGCGCTGATTGGCTAAAATACGAACACGAGATCACCTGGTATGAGGACTGGACTAGATTACAAGTCCGCGCAATTTGACCACTATTTGGTCTATCCAGTGGCGGACACTTTATGAAATATTGGGGGGGGGGGGCTCATGGGCATGCCCCCCTCCCCAAGAAAATGTTTAAAATTTGGACCCCGGAAATAGCATTTGCAGCATTCTGAGAACACATTTTGTAAAAAACTAGGTTTTCAAAACACTGTTTTAATTAATGGTATGAAATTACAATGTTTTAATTAATGGTATTATATGACAATTACATTATATGAGTGTGATTTGTGTTATTTCACTTATTTGTACAAGATTTTTACAGGAGGGTCAGGCCCCAATAAGAGATCGCTCTTACTGGAACTCTAGGGAGAACAGTTTAGAACTGATAGAACTATCGAGTATAAATAAGGTTAGTTTAGTTTAGGTTTCCTCATGTAGTAACACTGGATCAATAAGAGATGATCCTTACTGGATCTCTAGGGAGAACAGTTTAGAACTGATAGAGCTATCCAGCATAAATAAAGTTAGTTTAGTTTAGGTTTCCTCATGTAGTAACACTGGATCAATAAGAGATGTACCTTACTGGACCTCTAGATAGAACAGTTTAGAACTGATATAGTTATTACTCGTGTGTGCGATACAGAAGGGCCTTCGCTCGAAACGTCGAGTTTCTGCTTATTTTTTAAGGTAGTAGTAATATAACCACTCAGCACAGCATTGTTAGAAATTGTTTGCTTGTGTTTTCTAACTAAAATATAAATGCAGTGCACAAACATTAAAACACAGTTATACCTTTAAACGTGCCAGATCTGACTCTGCCCATGGCCTGGTTGTTAGCAAGACTTGAGAATAGAGTGTCGGGAAGTGAAAATACCATGTCTGGAAAATGAAGAAACCGTCTCAATGTCAATGTTTTTATTTATTTAGCTTCGCCTATAATTACACAATCAAACAACACAACCATTTCTGTCCAACCCGAAAACGAGCAAACTTCAGCGCCCCTGTCTATGTTTCAACATGATAGTAAAAAAAACAAAAACATACTGTTCATACTGCCCAGGCCTTAAAATATCGGTCGATCAAGGACATTGTCCGACCCATTCGTGAAATTGTCCGACGTAGAAAGGAAACCACCGGACATTCTGTCCGACCAAAGTGAAACTGAGGTTTATTGTTTGCCCGACCCGAGTGTATTGGTGTCCGACTGAACGGTAGCTTTGTCCGACGTAAATCAAAATGTACCCTAGCCCAGGACTAGAGGCTTGTATGTTAAGTGGAAAGTCAGAGTACTATTGTATAAAAGGTGAACTAGAAATGTTGTTTTAACGTAGTCGAGCACGGGTCGGCGAGCGAAATGGTGAAGTGGAAAACGGGCTTAAGTTGTCGAAGTCTTTTTTAATACTGCTGTTCTGGAAAGCAAGTTAATATTGGCTTGGAAATAAGTATGAAAGAAACAAAGTATTTAATATCTTTACAACATTTACCGTTTATTCATTTGTGTCGTTCAGACTTATTTCCGAGTCAAAACTGAACTGAAGGTCATCGGACATATGTCCGACCCAAACTCAACGTCACCGGACATTTTGGCAGACGGCCCTGGAAAAGATATTTTAAGGCCTGGACTGCATCAATTGTAAAATTCGTACTTCATCATGACCTACGTACTTTCCATTAAGTTACAAGAATCGACCATTTCCAACGCCTGTGAGACAACGAGTGATAGAGGTGATCCAACATCACTACCTAACGATTGTGCTTGGTTGGCTAGCGAAAATTTTCTTCAAAAAACAAAATGTGAACATTACAAGTTAAATACTTAGAATAGGCAATTCCAGCTTTTAATTTATGCGCGCAGGGGGTGACGGGAAGTAAGGTATCATATTGCTGATTATGCTGAAAATTTTCAATAAAAACTTCCGAAACAACCGAAATATTTCAATATTTACAAGTATAAGCTATCACTCCGTGTTTACACGGCCACCATTTTTATTTTTTCAGCACAATCAGCAATATGATACCTTACTTCCCATCGTCCCCTGCACGCATAAAGCCTGGTTCACACTGGTCTTAATTCATCGGCGATCTATTGTATTCTTTTCCGACAGACAAAGCATTTTACACACCAATGACCACAAACAATGGCAATCCCCGATTCTTACGACTAGTGTGAACCAGGCATAAACTAAAAGCTGGAATTGCCTGTTCATATATGTACATTATTGTAGCAGTAGTCAGGGCTAGAAAAATAGTCCAGCACGTGGGAACGGCTCTAACATTTTTACCATCTGAATTTGTTACATTGAAGATTTGCAACTTGACAATTTGAAGGATACCCTAACGCGCATGTTCCACAATGGGTCCACCGACTTCTAGTTGACAGACATTGTTCATGTCAGCTAGGATACTATGTTTAGGCAAAGGCTGAGCACAAGATACTCAGGTTTTAAGTACTATTTAAAACATGAGCAGCAGTGTTTTATCAGATATTAAGATACGAGGCGAAGCCGCCGAATATCTTTAGGTCTGATAAAACACGAACGGACCTATTCCCTAATGAATAAAATTTTGATCTAGACAAATCTAGACAAATATTTTATCACGGCTTGAAAGAGCATCACAAAATTAGTAATATTCCAAAGTTTCGTTGCGAAATGTTGTAAAATGCGGATAATATGGCCCTGCGAAGTTTGCCGTTTTTCAGTCATTTTGTATTACGCGCGGGAAATTGATACCTTTTTTCAGAAAGCGGTATCAATTTCCCATTTGTAATACAAAATGACTGAAAAACGGCAAACTTCGCAGTGCTATATTATCCGCATTTTACAACATTTCGCAACGAAACTTTGGAATATTACTAATTTTGTGATGCTCTTTCAAGCCGTGATAAAATCCGTGATAAAATCTTTCGAAGCACATTTGAAACATAGTCACATAGATTACCGTTGTTTTTCGCGTTCACGTAGGTGGTCTGAAATTTCTTGATCAAGACGAAGGATCTAAAAGAGAGTCACAATCATTCCTTAATAATTACATTTGGAAGAAATCTTTATGCCGAATTGCTTGTATGACAAAAGATCTTTCATCACAATGTGAATTAGGTACACAAGACTAGTTCCTATAGAGAATTTACTTTATTTATATTTCATCCACAAAAATATCCTTGACAAATATGGAAGATATTAATACCTCTTCGGTCTGGTGTCTTAATTCAACATCTTGGAACTTGTCCTCCACCTGATAAAAACAGGGAATATTGTCCAATATGTACAAAGCATAATTTGGTTATTTTATTAAATGTTGAAAATGATAGATGTAGTATACCATCTGTTTATAGAACACTCTCCATTTCTGATATTCGGTTGCGACAGCTTCAAGTTTTCGTTTCCAATATTTACCTTCTATCATCAATGTCTAGAAATCACAAATAGACCTTTCCCTTATGAGTGAAATTTTGATCTAGACAAATCTGGACAAAAATTTCATCACAGCTTGAAAGAGCATCACAAAATTAGTAATATTCCGAAGTTTCGTTGCGAAATGTTGTAAAATGCGGATAATGTAGCCTTGCGAAGTTTGCCGTTTTTCAGTCATTTTGCATTACAAATGGGAAATTGGTAATCAAATTTGATCATCTGGGGCCTGTTGTTCAAAGGTGGGTTAGCGCTAACCCTGGGTTAAAATTTAACCTGTTGTTTTAGTTTGTATATTTCTGCACGTCTGTTTATTTCAAAACTTCAGAGAAGAAAACTATTTTCGATCCAGACAAGATCTCTGAAGAAATATTTCCAAATTTATAGACAAGCGGTCAGGAAGTTTGATTTGAATTTTGCGTTAACCTAGGGTTAAGCTAACCCAGCTTTGAACAAACAAATACAAAATGACTGAAAAACGGCAAACTTCGCAAGGCTATATTATCCGCATTTTACAACATTTCGCAACGAAACTTCGGAATATTACTAATTTTGTGATGCTCTTTCAAGCTGTGATGAAATTTTTGTCCAGACTTGTCTAGATCAAAGTTTCACTCAAAAGGGGAAAGGTCTATTGATTATATTTAAGAAAGAAAGTGTCCATGATTTCTATGGAGAAAAGAGCAAATAGGGGAGGGATTAATTGCCAAAGATCAACAGGGGAAGTGTCATTTTCCAGAGGATGGCAGGAAGCCTGGGTAAGCCTTGGATCAGCTTCCAATGGGTGGTGGGGGATCCAAAGAGTGGGGGAGATCAGTTTCCAAAATGTGGGGTTAAGCTTTCAAATTTAAAGTTTAAATTGGGGTTGTTCAAATTCCAAATCTGGGGAGGAGGCTTCAACTTTCAAAGAGGATTCCTCAAGGGGGGCAACAGACAAAAGAGGTGGGGGAAAGTCAACATTCAAAGTAAGGGGGTGTCAAGTTCCAAAGAGTGGGGTCCTCCAAAGAGTCAGAGATTGATTTTCAATGGGTAGGGGGTAACATTTTATAGTTTTGGGGGGATTGACTTTCATTTTCCAACTCCTTACTAATTTGTGTGAATGTATGGAAGACTGTTTGTGGCTTGCAGTGTCTATGTGGTACAAGATAAAACATTAACTTTTCTTTATCAGTTAACTTACCACAGGCCGTGGTTGTTTGGCCATCTCTGTCAAGGGGTTGTCAAACTGACAGAAGAGCGGTCTCTTGCTTTCTTTAACTGAAACAAAACAATCACATCACAATGAAATTATATGTCATCACAGAAGAGAGAGCGTGTGTTAGTGTCACAGTGATTAGTGCACATGCATTTCACGTATTTGACTGGGGTTTCATTCTTGCAGAAAGGCTTTTAATTTAATAATTCATGACAAAAATTTAAAAAATCAACATTTAAATGCTATATCCATATGTACAAAATTCTCCTGATTTGCATAAATTTTTTCCTTAATTTCCTCACTTAATTTAAAATCACTTCTTTTTGAACAATTTCTTTTAACACAATTGTTGAAAATCATTACATTTCACAAGCCATATAAAGCATTTGAGTCTATGTTGTATCTGAGATACAACCTATCTGATATAACATGACTGATCATGCTGTATACATTACTAACATTGAATATGCCAGGATCTCCAGATTGCATTATTGATTCTAGTTTTCTCAGCAAACTTGAGTTTCTGGCTTCGGAAATTCTTCCACTTTGGCGTGAGTAAGATGCTGCCACTATACAAATGAAACAGAAAGTGAAATTTGAAGACCACGCATGTAATCCAGTGTATGGTTTTCTATTACTTGCGGACTATTTTTCATATAGACAAAGGAATTTTTCATAGAAACTTTATAAGAACAAGGTTATATTTATGACTTGTTTGATCCATCGTACTGTAAACACACCAGACAAATCAGCCGATTTTTTGTCTAAATGCCGTATTTCAACATAGAGACAGATCAATAACAGATAATTACAGATAATCTGTCTTGATAGATGATCCATTGGTTTGCAATGTTTTTGTTACATGACAGACAACTTATAACAGACCCACGCTATTAGGTCTTCGCTTCAAACATAGAAGTTTGTTCTATTTTCAGGTGCAAAATATCAAATGCAATATACCTTATTATAGGAAATTAACAATGCACTTTATTAACGCGGATTTTAAAAATTATGTGATTGTTAATTTTAAGTATGTAATTTTCATTTATCGTTAGTTAAAAATACCTAGATTTGTTTTATACAACACTAACTCTTTTAATATCAAAATACAGCATATTAACGTAAACTAAAAACATCAGTGCTCCTCTTAACATTAAACCTTTGTTGTTGTTGTGGCTATATTTTCCGATCCGCGTTAATTTAATTAATTTGTCAACCATGGAGATCAGATTCGCGTTAATATAATCATGTTTTAAAAGACCTAGAAGCAATCCGCGTTAATTTGATGTCGTGCTAATAAAGTGCATCGTTAATATCCTATAATAAGGTACTTTTGTTGCACTTAGCTACGTTGTCAAATATCGGGGTATAAATGCCTGTGCGTTAATAGTGCCCTTGCCATGGGCTTAACAAAGATTAACTTGAAAGATTAACTTTTTTTCCATGGCAGGGGGTAGATATTACATCTTAAACCTGGATCAAACGAGTGTATGAGAGTTGGCAGTCATGCAATGCAATCTTGGTTACTGCAATTTCCAGTTGAGTATGGAATTGCAAAAGTTTGTTTGTCAAGTTTTGTCGTTTGAAAACAATGTTTGTGACATCATTCTATAATGTTGTTAGGCAAGCTGACAATGTTGTCAAGTAAAACACTGCCAAGTTCACAACTATAAATAGAAACTTATTTCGTTTTGTAATGATTGGCAGTCTAACGGTTTTTACTTGACAACATTGTGTGCTCGCCTGGTAACATTATAGAATGACGTCACAAACATTGTTTTCAAACGACAAAAATTAACGAACAAATTCTACGAACAAACTTTCGTAATTCCACACTCAACTGGAAATCGCAGTAGCTGTTCTTAATGCTTTCCCAACAACAGTATCATGTATTTTATTGAAGTTAAAACATTAGTTGGAACACTCATGAATCAAACCTTTATTTTGTTAATCTAGAGCTTAAATGTCCCCTGTAATAATGCGTGACTGCCGACTCTCATCCTTGATTGAGCGGGGTTTTATATGCGTTTACACAATGTCAACTGTTTACATATTCTTAAATGGTATAAATATGCCTTAGGCCACGGGAATGAAAGTCATAGATTTGCGTCCACCGCCCGCATGCCTCAAAAGCTACCGCCTAAAATTTTCATTATTTACAAAAAAATTCATTATTTTCACAAATAAAGCAAAACTCAATAAAATTAGCAATAAAATTGTGTATTGATTACAATAAAATGAACATATGGCCGAGGGGTGTATCACTCAAAAAATCTCGTACACCCCTCAAAAAAATCCCTAAAAATCCTTAAAAATCCTTAAGAATCCCCCAAATCTCGAGAAATCTTTAAAAATCTCGAAAAATCTCTGAAAATCCCTGCAAATCAATAAAAATCCCTAAAAATCCTAAGTACTCCAACTACTTCATGTAAGGTTATGCACTAATTTCGCGCCAAAACTATTGCGTTAAAAATGGAGGTTGACGAGGTTTTTGAAATTGATTCTACAGATCCTAAAAAAACTACAGATGCTATTCCTGATGAAATTTGGAATATGTTTCCTTCAAAAGGAACTTATCTAAAAAACATAATAAAATTCAGCGGCTATGAGACAATAGATTCGGTTCTTAAACTAAAAAGCAAAGACGAGATTGAAACTCGTTTGTCAAAACAGTGGCAGACATTGTTGAAGAGAAAGATGCAATGTTTGGAATTTTCAACAATGGTATTGATTTTTTTCTTCAAAAATGTATGCCAAATTTTCAAAATCAAAACTATTGAATGATTTTGTTATTTATTTTCGAGAAAAAAAAGAGATAATAAAATAAACGTAAATGATTTTCAGATTAAGTACTGCATGCAGCCCAATTTTTTCAACATTATTAACAAAATTTCTTGATGCTGTGGAGAAACTTAAGTCAGAAAGGTCATCTAAAAAAATCCCAAAAGATTCTGCGAAGAAAATCACAATGACAAAACCCACAAGCTCCTGCCCACCACTGAGTGTCAGCGAAATACATAAACGGATGCTTAACTGGATTCATAATCAACCAGAAGCTAAGGAAAAATTGGCCCAAGTTGGTTTAAAACCAGTTGATAGTTTCAAGATTACAGTAAGTGTTCTTTTTTCATATCTTTATTTTAATTAAACAGAAGCATTCTGAGCTTGTTAGAACTTATGGGCTATGGTGGTGTCTACTCTGCCTCACTCACTGTCACTGGAATGTATATGTATATGCATATTCCTTCAATTAGTAACATTCCCAATATCGTTACAAAATTAATAAGTATTTTAAAACAAGTTTTTTAATTAAAGCTGAACTACTCTGGTTACAAGTATAATGGCCGTTATAATGGCCGTTATCTTTTACAAGAAAACTTTCAACTTTCGAACGACCGCTTGTTGCGTGTACGTGATGAGCAGCCAAGTCACATCTTTTCGAACACAGGTAGAGAAACAGGACCACAGAAATCAGTGCGATGTGGAGATCTTTGTTTCTTTTCAAGAGTAGACTGTGAAAAGTGTCTAGTTGGCAGAGTTATCCAGTTTTCCTACCTTACTGGCAGCAAGAAAGAAAGACAATACTCGTCAGACTATGTAGATCTCACAAAGGATTCGCATAAGAACATTGGTGTACTGGCAAACTGGTTTCAAGGAACCCGAGCTGTTTCTGGAAACAATACCAGCGGAGGTCTAATAACTTTTAAACCAATCGAAAACGTTTTTACTCCTGGTTATTTATCCATGAAGCATTATGTTGGAAGTATTGACGACTCCTCCTTGCAAGAAAATCCTGAGTTTTCGTTTTCTATTCCTGTAGAGGTGGTCCGGAAGGTTTTACCCAACTGGCACTCAAAAATAACCTTTGATTTTAATTAAAGTAATAAGTTCACTTTGTTGTGCATGCCTGTGCCACGATTGGTTATTTTAGGTACAAATATATGGTAAAGACGTTTTTGTTAACAATAGAATCTTTGATATTCTATGGTGTATCTTCAAAAGTTACATTAACAAAATAATAAAGTTTACATTATTTGGCAGGAGCTATACTGTCGACTATTATTATTATTACTTTTTACTTAATAATTAGCATTCTAGGAATAGGTGAGGTCTTTTTGGAGTGATACATCCTCTAACGTTTAGGTGAGTGTTACTGTTCAGTCAGATTTAAACTTTTACATTCTTTGTTATTTTTGGTATTTCCAGTCATCGCTATGTTAGTCTAGCTGTCTAATGTGTTAATAATGGTACAAAACTAAAGTAAAAGTAAAGTTTTTGTGAAGTTGTTGATTTTTTTCTGGGATTTTTTTTATTTGAAATCCCTCGAAAATCCCTAAAAATCCGTGAAAATCCCTAAAAATCCCTGAGGGATTTTGAAAATCCCCAAATCTCGTACGCTTTTTTTGAGTGATACACCCCTCGCATATGGCAGTGTGTTTGTCCTCAGTATCCACATTCTATGACTATGAAATTCCAAATTATATTCACCGAAATGGCGAAATTGGCACACAGATCTTCAGTACTGCAACTGCGTGAGCTCGAGATATATGTAATTCCGTGGCGTAAACGGTAATTCATGTTTTGATCTCTGTATTTACCACCCAAAAGGATGGTAAAAAAATAATGAATAATGAAAAAACCCCGCATGTTTTTTCAAAATTATCCGGACGCAAATCTATGACTTTCATTCCCATGGCCTTATGCATCGGAATATTGAAGGGGGCAGTGACATATTATTCAATATTGATGACATTTTAAGGAAATGTTTACTTAAATTCTACGATTAAATTCCTGGAATTCCTCCAAATGACCTCATATTACGTGCCAATATAAACAAAACATATTTTTAATGACACCTAAGGTTACAACATTATTGCACGAAAAGCCACTTATCTTGTATATTTTATGTTCATTCGAGTTTAACATGTGTTACTGTGTACAAAAATAGCATACAATTCACAATCATATGTACAAATACAATAACAGATTAGTAGATTACACAACGATAGAATTCCGTGACCAATTTTACTGGTATTATATGCATGAACTTTGAATTTAACTAGTTCGATCAACTTTAATAGAATGATACAACCTCAAGTTAGCGTTGTTTTAAAATGCCTTGTTCTTTAAAAATTCATTCTTGTCGTTGATAAATAAACGCCATTTATTAATAAAGAACGAGGAACAGCATCGGCAACATCGCTATAAATTTCTTGTTGGTGGTACACATGAGAATCGTCCCAATGGTCGGATACTCATATACCAACTCATCAGATTTCCATTAGTTCCTACCTGTATTCAAGTGTTAAACATTCAAAAAGCCTTGCCAGAGAGTCGTCAAGAGTTAAAGCGACGATTTTCCGTGGGTTAAAATCCTCTGAAGGAACTGCTTTCTCCTCCGAGGTCATCATAAACTGTCCACTAACTCCAAACGCAGGGACGGACGAATTCTCATCCCTATCTCCCTCTTTTTTAATATCTTGCCTTGTCATTCTAAAGAACTGTCTTCAGACAGTGTTATTTCAATGATAAAAAGCGATTTTATGGCCCTATTTCACCTTCGTGACAGATTGTTTTCAAATATTTGTTGTTTTCGTCGTGAATCCGCCATTCCTGTTCAAAGATAAATATTGTCACGTGATAGATCAGAGTTCATCGACAAAAAATACGGGGAAATTCCAATGTTGGGAAATAAATTACTGGGAAAATTTGGATGGAGTATCATTTTCACAGGTTTGAAAGCCCCCCCCCCCCGCTCATCACGTGGAGATCTGTACCATTATCTACAACCCCCCGGCAATAGACGTTTTAACAATAGCGACGTCATCTTGAACCGTATGCATTATGGTCTAGCAAGAATAAAAATAGATACGCAAGCGTCCATCAATATATTGTGCAGATGAGCCTCTTTTTTTATTCCAAAGGTCGTAGGTTCGATTCCCACCGTGGCCAGGCATATTTTTCAAGCTTGCCCGGTGCGGATATACACTCAAAGTAACATCACAAACATCATATTTACCTGAGTACATAACACCAACGCACAAAAAAATCAAGTTGTTACAAGTCTGCAAACAAGTTGTTACAAATCTGTTCACAAGCTGTCGACAAGTTGTGTTCGCACTGCTTGTTCCCAGTTGTTGGAACAAGTTTGGAACAAGCTGTTAACAACTTGTAACAAGCTTGATGGAATTATCAGACGTGTTACAAGGTTGTTCTTACAAGTCTGACACAGTCATGATATAACAAGAATGTTACAAGGTTAACGATACAAGGTTGTAACAATATTGTTATATCATGACTGTATCGGACTTGTTGGAACAACCTTGCAACAAGTCTGATAATATCAACAAGGTTGCTACAAATTGTCAACAGCTTGTTCCATACTTGTCGACAACTTGGGACAAGCAGTGCGAACACAACTTGTTGACGGCTTGTTGGCAGACTTGCTACAAGATGTGAGATTTCTACGCGTCTAACACGAAAACGGAGAATGAGTCTGCACTTTATATCCTGGTAGTTCATAGTTATTGCACGCTCAAAGCTCAAGAAAAAAATAACAAACACAACTTGGAATACGAAATATTTATGTACAAATGATCCATAACGATTACATTCATTTATTTTTTTATTGAACAGTTCACGAATGCTTAAATGAACAATTAAACAATATTAAAGTCCAGTAGTGTTTTACAATTGCGAACTTTGTACAATTGGTTCGGTGCTAAATAAGCGATTGTAAATGCCGGTGTGAAATTACAACAAGAGTGTGGCCTATGGCCATCATTAGGGGGGTAAGGCTGGTGGTGTTTCACTCAACATATCGCCCCACCCAACTCCATCCCCCTTTATAAATAACATATACAAAGTTTTCTATGACGCAGGTAACTTTACAAAATTCGCTAACATACGATAAATTTGCCCCCAAAGTCTCTCCCTGTGTGGTGTTGCATTTCCTTCTCTCATAAGACCAGCTGAGATATAAATTATAGTGCCTTTTTTACAAGGATGTATTGTTATTTAGAGCGATATTTATGATCAACAGAGGATGGTTGAGATTTGAGAAGAACTTCTGATGCAAAGGCGATCAAATCCTTGTAGTCCAAAAGTGCACAAACATTCCCAACAAACAAGTGAAAGAACGGCGCTCCAATATATGCAGCACTTTACATTGTCGACACGTGTAAAACATCGTTCCACTAACATGTTATTTGCAATACACACAGAGAGAGCTGGAGGAAGTCCAATGATACGATTGCTACAAAGCCAGGTGCATATAATGTCCTATCTAGCCAAAGAACGGAACAGGAACATCCATATCAAAACAAATGTTTGTAATGTCAATAACTAAGTTATTCCTCTGCTAACAGAACATGAAATGGACGAGGAAATTTATAACAGACGCTAAGCACCACGCAGGTTGTGTGAATCTTTCTACAACTCGTCAGATCTCCAGTGGGAAGCCAGGGTCGCCTGCAATCGGCTGCCGAGGAGTGAGCTGTCTGATTAAAGCGTCTACACAGTTGTGAGGAATTAATGAACCTGGAAAAAAGAGGAACAGATATAAGGAATAACCTAGGTACTCAAGTAGTAACAGGCTAAATACGGGATATGACTTACTAATACTCGATCTCTGGAGAGAACAGTTTAGAACTAATAGAGCTATACAGTATAAAATTAGTGTAGGTTTCTTCCTCTGGTAACATTGGATCAATAAGAAATGATCCTTACTGGACCTTTAGGGAGAACAGTTTAGAACTGATAGAGCTATCCAGTATAAAATTAGTGTAGGTTTCCCCCTGTGGTAACATTGGATCAATAAGGGATGATTCTTACAGGACCTTTAGGGAGAACAGTTTAGAACTGATAGAGCTATCCAGTATAAAATTAGTGGAGGTTTCCTCCTGTAGTAACACTGGATCAATAAGAGACGATCCTTACTGGATGTTTAGGAAGAACAGTTTAGAACTGATAGAGCTATCCAGTATAAAGAAAGTTAGTTTAGTTTAGGTTTCCTCCTGTAGTAACACTGGATCAATAAGAGATGATCTTTACTCGACCTTTAGGCAGAACAGTTTGGAACTGATAGAGCTATCCAGAATAAATAAAGTTAGTTTAATTTAATTTAGGTTTCCTCCTGTAGTGACACTGGACCAACAAAAGATGGCCGTTATAGTTTAAAATTGATGAAATAAAGTTAGCTGTCTCTCAACAAAATGTACAAAGTCACGGTGTCCGAATATCTCACCTACGATGCGCTTATCGTCCACAGTACGAACGCGAATAATTTGCATCCGGGAATTATTACCACCTTGAGTTGCGAGGACGTTTTCAACTTGGTTCCAGACCCTCAAAACTGAACCGCTGAGAATGTGGTAAGTTCGCTTGCGCAGTCCAACGGAACATGTCAAGCCCAAAGCTCTGTTTTTGCAGTTGCCTTTCCTAAAGAATATAATATATAACAACCTCAATATAAAAATAGTCGTAATCCCAACCGAATCCTTCATAATGCAAACCTTAATAGACGATTCAAGCTAGACACGAAATTTTGATCTTGACAAGAACGAAATCCATTACCATAGCTGGAAAGAGCATATTAAATGAGTAAAATTGCAAAATTTGGCTGCGAATTGTTGTAAAATGAGGAAAATATAGCCCTGTGAAGTTCGCAAATTTTGTATATATTTGCATTACGCGCGGGAAAAATAACCATTTTTGAGCCGAAAGTGGTTATTTTTACCGCGCGTAATACAATTGGATTATATACAAAATTTGCGAACTTCACAGGGCTATAGCTACTTTCTTCATTTTACAGCATTTAGCAACCAATCTTTGCAGTTTTACTCATTCTAAGACGCTCTTTCTAGCTGTGGTGTTGGATTTCGTTCTTCTTGCCTTGATCAAAAGTTAGTCTAGAGCTGGAATCACCCATTAAACCTGTCCTGTCTAGGGATTACAGTTTAGACAAAACTACTAGAGTAAGTCCTGTACAGTTATCGACTCACCAGTATGCATGAACACATTGGGTTTCTGATGACTCGTATTTCTCAATCCAGGCAGGCTGTGCGGACCAGACAGCAACCTAGACAAACAAAGATCTTTTAAACTCAAGCCCTCTGCAAACAAGCGTGGGCAAAGATTTGAGTTAGTTTCCATTAACTCGGCCAGACCGGTCAAATTGTTCAATGGAACACAAAACGTTTAGGCTTCGGACCTATCGGACCGGAAAATTTAGATAAAATTAGAATGAGGTCCATTTTCGCTAGATATTTGAGAGACATACGCCCGTATTCTAAAAGTTCACTCACACTCAATGAGTGGAGGTTCAATCTGAGCTTCTCTGGAGTGTCAATGCTGTTTTTGAATAGTTGGAGGGCGAGTAGTCACATAGTAAGTTATGACACTAGTCCTCCAGCTATTCAAAAACAGCAATGACTCTCAAGAGAAGCTCAGATTGAGCTTCCACTCATTGAGTTTGAGCTTTTAGAATACGGGCGTTAGCCAGATCTTTCCATTGATACAGAGACAAAAATTCGGGTCTGACCGGTCAGGCCATTAAATGGAAAGCGGCCCAACAGGGAAACATTTAGGCAGCGTAAAACAAAAGAATCTTCATGTAGTTTAAGCTAGCGAGAATCGAGCAAAGGAAACGTTTAATCGCATATGTGAGAAGCACTATTGTAACTGCGAGTGTTTAATTAATGTTTGAACTATTTTACGTCAGTATTATTGCAGGACAAAAATGTACATTAATAAAACGCGTTTTGACAACTTTAATCAACTTTTTATTTACACAGCGTGTGGTTCTTGGTTTATCTTTGTGACCGGAATTTTCATGACTCTCTCTCTGCCCAGTCACATGTGAGGAGCATGGCCATAGGCAGTATTTTTCACCAGGGGGGGGGGAGTAATACCTACATGCTGAAGAATCCAAATATCAACACATTCAAATGCTTATATGGCTGCCCAATACAGAATCATACATTCTGATTCCCAAGATTATAAGCGCCATTTGGCTTAATTAATAACATTATAAAATAGCCAGTTAAATGTTCTTGGGGGGGGGGGGGGGG